ATATATATATATAAATATATATATATATGTTGTTGTTAGATGAAGCTGAATTTCATTCATTCAGATCATTTTGGGGGGGTGGGGCAGAATTCTTAATTCTGGTCTGACCCCAGATAGTTAATTCCTCAGGGGTTATCTCATCAGATTGCTGATTAGATAGTCACCCTCGGTTTGACGTGATGCTAAACAGTCGCGTCTACCTCTGGGACTCAGCGTTTGTGTTTGTTAGTCTTGTTGAAATCTTCCTCTGACATTAGAGGCTGCAGATGATAGAACAGGCAAACAAGCCAGAGGCCAGAGCCCTTTCATCTGTGAGGAGAACAAGGAGTTAAAGAGACAAAGGGTACAAAAAATAATGCACACATTAAAGTCATTACTCACATTCTGGCCTGTTGTAAATTATTCATGTAGGCCTCGCGTGAGTGTGCGGCATTAATACAAACCTTGATTTCAGATCACAGGCAGACTCAAGAGCACAGCCTGTCAACAATCACCAAGGTGGTGTTAGTCATTTAGAGGCCCTTTAAACCTAACTGCTGTGACCTGGACAGCGCATGGCTGAGCCACACGCAGTTTATGCAGCGGCTCACACAGTTGTGGGTCAAAGGTAACATGTTGCTGTGTGGTATTGATCACGCTGTGAGTAGTAAGATGTGTGAGCTAGGCGTTTTCAAATGAAACGGTTTATCCCTGTATATTGGTGGTAACATGTTTTAGCTCTTTGCTGCCTTTTGGAGTGCCGATTCGTGAAACAGCCAGTGGACGAAGATGTGTTAGATTGTTGTGTTAGACTTAGGTAATAATGATGGTCCACTGTCGTCTTAGCATTTTGAGCTTTGCTCTGTAAAGTTTTCGTTACTTTGCGGTCATTGTTATGAATTTGGTTATTGTTGATTGGGTTCGTGATCCATTTTAGCCAATTAGCAGTCGATCAACACTCAGCCCGGTCTGCAGAGCCCGTGTGTTGCTAGCTTTTTGGAGGAGTGCATTTTGAAAAATGGCCATCTGTGAAGGCTATGCGGACAGATACCAATCACATGTAGACCAATGAACTTGACGTGGTTTTCTTTGGACTGTGGCAGGCAGCCAGAGAAAACCCTCTCCAGCACAAGAAGGACTTGGCAACTCCACACAGAAAAACCAACCACCCAGCAGGTTTTTGCTTAAGATGCACTTGTCCTTTTCAGCTGTGAGAATCAAACAATCACGAAGCCGTCCTAAGTTAAAATAGAAAATGAAATACAATTTACTAAATCAAGTTACTAAATCCCCCAAAATATACAAGGAATATTTAAGGAATAAAAAGGAACCTATTGGGACAGTTAAAGTTTACATTGTAGATCATCTTGTAATCTGCAATGTTTACAGAGAAACATACCAACAGCATTGCATAATTCTGTGAAAACGCCAGTAAAAATGTAAATCCCTTGCACAGTGTGTGCTTGGATGTCCTGTATACAGAACCCCAGATAATGGAGAGTACAGAGTTGGAGTTAGGATGAATAGGCTTGTGGTCACACTGTCTGCTCCAGCACTGGAACCACAACACTGACGTTTTGTCTGGATATAAAGACGTAACTGAGCAAAGAAAACTAAAGACCTTGCTTAAATGGAGAAAAAAAAACCTTTCAAAGCTGATGTTTTTTTGTCTTTTTCATGAAACAATCTGGCTTTTCTTCCCCCACTGTTGTCATATCTGTTTGCCCAGTGATATGCTGGCCTTCCTGTACCTGCTAAAGCAGCAAAGGTCCGCGTTATCATGTGGAATCAGATAAATGCAATCCTTTGAAGAATTCAAAACTCACTTTTTTTCAGACTGTGAGATCATTCTTGAAACAAAAACAATCCTCTGTATTAACAGGAGAATCAAGCATATAAAGCCTCTTCACAGGAAACATCCTGTGAAGAGGCTTTATAAGTGTATTTGTTAATTATAATGTGTTTTTTCTAGCTATACTATAATATATATATATATATATCCTCTTGTCACAATGAAATAAAGCTATTAACGTGTTATAATTTCAAAATAAATCAGTTGATTATAAATACAGAATTTGGTTAGTAAAGCCATCTGAACAATAACATAATCTGTACTGGTTAACCCTCTATAAGGGATAAAAGTGCATAAAATGTGCACTGTTTTACAAGGAGTGCTTCTTTATTTCTTTCTAAGATGCAGTAACTAGATGTTTTTTAGCAGGTCTACATCTTGACTAATTTCAATTGTCCTCTGGTTTTTGTAGTAAATCAACACTAACATCCATGACTGAGTTGAAAAGCATTGTAGCATTATAGGAGTATATGTAATTAACTAAGATCAACCTTAAAGAAAAACCTTATCAGTTGATCTTCTTTGCCCCTGTGCCTCCTCCCCCCGTCCCTGATTGTGTCCACCCCTCCCTGTTTAGAAGCAGAGCTTCTTACAGAAAGCAATCCTCCAGTCTGATGACATCAATGCTAAATCCATAAATGAGAGGGGGTAAATTCAGCACCCCCCCCCTTTTAAATGTTTTGTTCCTCATTGAAAAAAATCCTGAGAATGTGATGACTTGCTTGTCCTCACAGATAACATGAGCAGGTGTGTGGCGCTGGGCCTTCGCCTCTCAGAATGATCCACGATTCTTCCCCAGACTTAAGACTGTGACTTATTTCATACAGTTGTTGATTAATTTAAGTTCAATGAAATAAAACCATTTAGGCATTCTCCCTGTGTCTCCTGCAGAGTCAGTGGTAAAACAAACGGCCGTGTCCTGAATCAGCAGGCGCTAAGGTGTGTGCTTAATTTCCCAAATTAATGCCTATTTGTCCCTGCTTTCATGTGTTTTCCTGCAACACTGCATTGTGTGTCTGGACTTGTTTTTAGAGCCCTTCAAGCACTTCCATCACGACCATTTCCCTTAAAGCACCAGCTTGAAACAGCGCCAGATATAAAACAACGTGCAGAGCCAGTGTTTTGGATGAGTTTAAAAGAGATTCAGAGAAGAAAGGGGAATAAATAATAACAGTGCTAAAAGGAAAAACATAATAAGGGCCTAGTTGTGTTAGGGAAGTGGAGGCTTTCATCTTTCTAAAACAGTAATGTTCTCAATGAGTCTTCAGGCCTGTGTTTAGTCCAGCGAGCCTCGAGTGCTGCACATGAAAGGCTCTAGTCAGGCTGGGCTCTCACTGGTATATGGGATCTATCCGTTCCTTTCTTCCCCTCTCCTTTACCCCCCCTCACCTCCTCCCATATGAGAAAGGTAATGAGTAGCCATGTGGTTTGCACTGACAGTAAACCATATTAAAATGGCTGTCAGTGCTTTGCTCACCCCATCTGAGGCCCCCGGGGTTTAGGAAAAGGAGCATTATTTTCCTGCTCCACGCCACAAGCCTCCCCCTTTGCAGCTGTTGCATGCTTTACAAGTCTGTTTACAGGCACTTTCAGCTAAAGGTCTCGCTCACCCAACGTCAGGACTCCAGTTGGACTGAGCCCCGGCTGAATAGACGCTGTTTGCATGGCTTCTTTCCTCTCATTGTCTGGAGTTGGAGCGGTTTTCTTCTTGCATTTTCAGCTCTCGTGCTCTAATGGCTCCTAAATGGTGCACGAGCCATGTTTGGGAGCAGGTAAACTCTGCTGCCGGGCGATTGTGTTCTTACAGAGGCCAGATATCCCCTCAGTGCCTGTTGACTCATTTATTCGTCACAAAAAAACAAAAAGATTAGACTCTCAGGATTAGGATGCGGGGAAGAGAACGGGACACGCTACAGTTATTTAAGCGCTCATTTGAGCGCCACACATATTAATGAAATCCAGCTTACAGTGCCATTATTTTACTTCCAGCTTGTTGGGGTTCCCCAGGAGAAAATCTACATTTTTTATGCGTGGAATTAAACATTTTGTCCTCTCCCTCTAAATCCGCTCACACATTTGTTTTCCGTCCCACCCACTTCCCTTTATCTTTTCTCTGCCCACCTCCCCATCGCCTCCCTCCCCCATCCTCTTCCTCTTTGCCTCAGCATTTAGAGGCTTAAGAGAGGGATGTACCACTCGAGCCACTCCCATCTCGCAGCCACCCCTTCCCACAGTGAGGAATGGTACAGCCCTGCTTTGCATAAGTTTCCTCTGAGTGGGTCGTGTGTGGAGGCCAGTACTGAAAGAATTATTAGTCTCTTTTGAACGATTTGGATGTATGTCTGAGAGAAAGCCAGGGTGCTGCTGTTATACACCTCTATCACAGAAACTGCTAAAGCTATAATGTATTGCGCATACCCTGTCCCTGGAATGGGCAGTAACTCTTTAATGTATTACTACAACGGGAAATCGGTGAGTAGTCCCTTTGGGAATGTGTGCGTCTGAGACAGAGAGAAGCGGTGAGAAGTGTGCATGTGTGTGTGTTTGCCTCTGACTGTCAGTGCCTGCCTGCTTCCCAGTCTCAGCCTCTTTAAGTTTAGCATTTTGTTCCTTTTTAGATTAAAGCTCTGTGTTCTTGTCTCTCCTTGTGCGAATGAATGAATGTGTCTGATTTTGGGTTAAAGCTGCATGACAGCTGAAATCCTCTGGTTTGACTGTTTTAATTACACTTTGACATTTCTGCCTAATTGAACCCCCCTACCCTGTCCTGCGTAAGTAAGTAGATACACATGGAAAAAAAGTTTTGTGGCATTTTTTTTACCTTTATCTCATGAGTGCGGCAGAAAGTTTCTTACATTTATTTTTACTGGCTGGTTGCTCGAGCTCAGAGACTGGGTTGAAATAATAACAAGTGGGAGTCTGGGAATGATTAGGGGAAAGAGTCTGCCTGTTGAGGTTAGACTTTCCTGTTTGCAGATTGAGCTCCAAGCACCAGTGTTGCTGTTATTCCATCTGTTTTTAATCACTTTGGCATTCTTGACGCCACAGGGAGCCTAATGTGATTTCTGAACTTCTCTGTAATGACCTCTTTGATTTTTGTTGCTCTGAAATGTTTTTTCCTTGGAGTGCTTTTTCTCATTGAATATGCACATAATTGAACGTGTATCTGTGGGTAATTCTGCACTTGCAGTTGATGGGACTCGTGAACTGAGTTTTTATGGTAGCTTAGAGTCAACTTGTAGCTGTAAATATCAGCTGTGCATGTGTGCAGACAAGATTTCAGAAAGGCTGGTTTTCATAGCAAAAACAATGCAGCGAACCAGTGGACCTACTCAAGGACGGGCTCCAACAATAGCTGAATGAGCTCTGTAAAGCATTTCAGTAATCCTCAAGGAGCGATCCTGTCACAGGCAGATCTCACAGGCACATTTCCACCTGTCATTTCCCATGCTGCTTTAGTTATTTCATAAAGGGCACATTTGTTTGAAGGAAAAAATAAGGAGATTAGCCTTTTTATGGGTTTATATCGAAAAGGTCATCTTAGTCAGCCTTTTGTTTCAACTGTCCTCACAGTCTATTACCGCATTTCCCGTTTTGTTCCCGCCACACAAAAGACGACTTTGATCTTTTTCATATTAAGTATTAACAGGCTTGTGTTACAGTTGTGATGGGGAGAAAATTGATAGCATGTGGACGGGACAGGCAAACCTTATGATCAAAAGCACTTGTTAAACTACCAGCGCTGACTTTTTTTGGAGAAGAAAGATGGTACTCATTCTTTGAATCAAACTGATCCACATAAATTTGTTGCGATGCAGTGTTTCGTAGCAGGCTCACCATCTGGAGCACTGGGAGAATTCGCAGTGGGCCTTTGGCTTGTGAGCTGGTGGCACGGCACCAGTACAGATGGAGCAGCTCACTGATCTTTCTTTCGTTGCCCTATTAGTGAAACGGAAAAAAAAACAAAAGCAAAACCCCACTTGCTTTTTAGGCACATTTTTTCCTCTTGCAGTGCAGCACACTGATAGGAATTAAACAAATAAATGGAAATATTTTATCTCCCTGTTTGTGAGGACTGACTTACCTGTTGTTGTTTATGCTGTGCAACAGGTTACATCACTTTTTCTCGAAGCTAATCCTCCAAATCCCCCCCCCCCCCCCCCCCCCCCCCCCCCCCCCTTTCACACACACTCTTACACGCGCACACACACACACATACACTGTCCACATGTGCTGCTGGACTGAAGCATGCAGGCTTCCTTGCACACACAGCACAAAATCAGAGTGGGGGTGGTGTGTTTGTGTGTGTTCACCTACCAGGCCCTTCATGTATACAGTGCACATGTTTTCATTAGCTTATATATTTCATACTTCAGGGCCTTATTCAGCTTTGCCTCTTTTCTCCTCTTTGAGAACCAGACCTGAGGCTTTACTGTTGTTTATGTGTTATGAGCACTTGTACACATTCCCAGTTCATATGAGTGGATTTTGGAAAAGTTTGTCGTATAATGTTTACTCATTGATTTCCCACTCGTACACTAGCTTCCCCCCCCTGTCAATGTGACAGCTAAAAGTTAGTCACTGTTTGATCATGAGAGAACAGAACTTATTTTTGCTCTTAAAAACCACAGACAAATACTAAACAATGCCCCTCTGAGCAGGTTAAGATGAGCATTGAATCTTTCAAGCGTACTAAGCCTTGGAAGTGAGTAAGGTTTGGACTTGAAACAAAATGCCTCCAGGAGTTTGGTCCCACTCCAAGGAATGACATACCATACAAAAACAGGACACACCATTAATAGTGTGTTTGAACTTCTTCTTCTCTTTTAGCTTTTTGGCTGTTTGCCCAATTTTGGCTTAGTATTTTGGTTTTTAATAGCCCTTCATGTTGTTATGTTACATGCTTTGTTGCGGTTGACAGATTCGGTTTTAACATGCAATGTTTTGATTGGTGTGGCATGCACTTCAATGGTAGGTACCAGTGGCAGGATATTTTCCCTCAGTGAAGTAGGAGTGCTGTTGAGATATAACAGAGCTTCTAAAACATTAAACACAACATGGAGTCTATAGCAAATTATGTTGACTTCTCATCTTCAGCTTGTCTTGCAGACACATCCAGACTTTTTTTATTTCTCTACTGTTATATAATAATTCAAGACAGCAGAATGAACCTTTAATTCTCAGGTTTGCTCAGCATTTGATTTGTCTTTACTTTTCAGGCAGTAAGTTATTCTGATGAACAAATGCACCAAACTCTGGTGTCGGTGTCACGGTTTGCTGATATTTAAGTCGCATCAGCTGCTGCTCAAATAACTGGTGTGAGACTGTGATGGTGTGGGGATCTGCGTGAGTGACGGCTTTTAATTAATGGCCTTGTAAAAGGAAACCCAGGCGGGCCCTGTCTTCCATTGCCCAGTGGAATGAGGCACCCGGTGTTTGGGATGGTTTATTAATGCTTCGACTGGTTAGCCCCGGATAAAAAGGACAATTAACATTATCCTCTGCCATATGCTGCCCATAGAGCGTCTGACAGAGGCAAAAGACAAAGCCTTGGCTCCTGTTCGAGGCTAACCTGAGACCTCCGTGCTACTACGATCAGCCCTGGTCACATGTGTAAGCCAGAAGACCCAGGAGAGCCCAGCCCCTCCCGGAGCACTTTAATTACACTTCCAGACAACAGCATGCTGTAGTCCTGCTCACTCAGCAGAGCCCAGCAGCACTAAGTGTCACATTCTGCCTTGATGATATGCTCACGTGTGGGAGCGAGTGTTTTAATTGAATTTATTTACGTGGGCTGCGACGCATATTTTCCAGCAGTAATGTGTCGTAAAATAACAGCACACAGCTTGTAAATGGCCGTTGTGGCCCTGACATCCACATGAATTAGAAAGCAATTTTGAGGAGTGAGCTGTCAACATCTGAGTGTGAAATGAGGCCATTAATGGAGGGATTTAACATGCAGAGCGGGGCACAGGAGCTGGAGACGTGCAGGTGGATCTCTGTGGCTCTGATTAGTGTTACATGGCGACTGTGACATCCAGTCCTGTCTGTGGGAGGGAGAATTCATCCAAACCTTTTTTCCCTTCTTCCCCTCCTCACCCTGGCTCCCACCATCTGGAGTGGATGAAGTCAGAGACCACATCACTGGTGTTTGGCCTCCAGTCTCTTTGATCCCATGGCCCAGCTTGGCACACGCTAGCAGCTGTACAACAGCATGCTCATTGTGCTCCTCTTTTCTGAGACCAGCTTGCAGGTACAAAAATAAGTAAAGCAAAACAGGCTTAGGTTTTTATATTTTCATTTGATTTCTGCCTCTGTGGGAATGCTGTAATTTGCCAGGCTTTTACTATATGCGTGTAAGCGGGATCATTATACTTCCATTAGAGGCTGAGTTGATCGGAGATGCAAATACTCCTGATAATCCACTCCTCCCTTCATGAGCTTGATTGCTTGCTAGTCATTAAAGTGTGTGCGCTTGTGTATTTGGAGCATTAGGGCTGCATCTGCAGCACTTGTGTTGACTTGAGCTTGTTGGCGTGAGATCCCGTGCTGTTGAGTAGGGACATGGGAATATGCTTAGCACTTTTGGTTTACTTCACAGGAACAGAGACAAGCAAACGATTCATTTCAAAACACCTTTGACAAAATCACATCTTATGGTATTCTGCTCTTAATGATGGAAACTGATGGGTTTTCCTCTGCCTGGGTCTGTTGTAATTGCGACTTTGCTTCTCTGGCAGGTGTACGCACCGTCACCAAACTCAGAGGACTTCAACAGAGATTCGCCTTCCTACTCCCCCCCTAAACCCTCCAGCAGTATGTTTGCAAGCACTTTCTTTGGTAAGTTCAAAGCAAAGGCCATTCTGCAGTTTTGGATTTCATAATCCATCCATTGATTCTGTATTTAACTCCACGAATTGAAAAAAGATACCTGCTTTTGCCCTTTTCTATCCTCCCTCTTTAAAAATATTTGAACATCATAATATAATACTGTAATGTTGAGTATTAGGCAGTATTTTTTATGCTAAACTTTATATAGATAGACCTGTTGCTACTTTTAACTTTTGTGTTTATCTCAGCTTTTTTCTAGACAAGCATTTTGGGTCTGTCCTAAAAATGAGAAGAATAAAATGCACTCCTTGTTTTAAAAACAGAATTGTTTACTCTGACCAACAATACACAACATTTTTTTTTTTTTTTAATTAGATGGTACCCAAAGTTCGTCCGACCCCTGGAATTCGTCCAGTGGGATCAGTCAGCCGGGGTATGGTGGAATGCTCGCAGGATCTTCATCTCACATGCCACAGTCAGGGAGCTACAGCAGCCTGCACTCACACGACCGTTTGGTAAGCAGGATCACACAACCAGGTCGCGGTTGATAGTTAGCGGCTCTTTTGGCCATAACAAGCGTGTAAGAGATCAAGTGAGCTGCTCAGTATTTGAATTACTCAATTCCCCCCCACCACCACTATGTGTACTAACTTGTTGTCTGGTTTTTATCAGAGAAGGCACTGTTGACCCTCTTTTTGTCAGTGTTTGATCTGGCCTCGTATGCCTGCCTTCTTCAGCTGGCAGAGCATCACAGGGAGCCTGCAGATGCTGCCTGACCTCCCTTTATCTCTGTCCCTCCCCCCATTAACTTTTGCTCCACAAAAGCCTGGGAGATGTCAAAGGACAACTACAATTTACAGACCAAATAAGATCTTTCTTTCCTGCACAGATAAACATTTGTTCCCTCTTTTTATATTCCAGAACTATCCTGCACACTCGGTCTCTCCTGACATCAATGCCAGTCTTCCCCCCATGTCCAGCTTCCACCGGAGCAACACCAGCACTTCACCATTTGTCACCGCAGCACACACCCCGTCCGTCAACTCAACTGATGGGGTTATGGGTATGTTCTTATGTAAGCCCTTCACTCATCCCCGGTGTTTAGCCCAAACCCAAACTCTGTAAAGGTAATGAGGGAGTCGGTTGGACAGCTGCTTTGTGTAGCTTGACCACCCACTATATTTGTGATTTTGCTGTAACAAGGCCCTCCTCTGTTTTCCTGTAGCGGCTGCAAATCGGGGAACGACTGCCGGAGGCTCGCAGACCGGAGATGCACTGGGCAAGGCTTTAGCTTCAGTGAGTGACAGTCCCACTTTTAAGTCCAGCTTATTCCACAACACATCGCTGATTAAAGAGAGACACACAAGATTTAGATTTGAAAACTAGTTGGAATCAATTGTTATTTGATAGAAAATGTATTCCACCTTCATATTGGATTATTTTCTGGGATTATTGTCGGTGGCTTAAGCATTACTGTCCACTTCTAAGAAATCTCTGTATTCCCACTTTCGTGTCCCATCTCTTTAGGAAGTGACAATCATGTCAGGACTGTGTGTTCATCTTCCTGCTCCAACAAATTAAATATTTTGTCTGATCAAAATAGAAAGCTTTCCCCAAAGATCGAGGGCAGTGATAAACCATATAGGTAATGTTTGTGCTATTTTATAGTCATTTCATAGTTATAACAAATAATTAAGGGCTATACAATTAAGGGCTATACAAGAGGAGTAACCAAGAAAGTCACCTATACATTTAAAAAATTTCAAAATCTGGTAAAACTTTGGATAATTTCTTAGGCTTTGTCAGAATATTAACACGTTAAAATCTGGAGAATGGATTCAGAATTGGGGACAAAATTAGTCAAAAGAAGAGAATGTCCTAGATTGAATTAACATGTTGCAAAGGTGTCATGTGATCCAGAAGATTTTTAGCATTACATAAAGAAACATCGATTTCACTCACAGGACAAGCTGCTTCCTTAATAGAAACATTTCTAATTTCCTGCGAATCCAGAATATTAGAGTTCAGGGATGGTAATAACAAATTAAGTCCTTTATATTTGCAGACTCAGTTGTATTAGCATGACAAAGCTGCAGTGAAATGGACATGGTTGGTCTGGGGTGGGGGTGGGTGGTTGGGTGGATGGATGGATCAGAGTGCACAGGGGAGTTTATAACTGCTGTGGCTGAACTCCATGCCACCCCCCCCCCCCCCCCCTCCTTTTTTTTTTAGAGCTTTTGTTCTCCGCCCTTTTAAATTGGCCATGCTTATTGGCCCCATGCTGCCTGCGGGAGCGTAACTGATGATGAGGCGGGGCTTCATTTATCCCAGTAAAATGAGCCATGTTTCACTTTGAATGCAGCGTCAGTATCCGGGGAGGGAAAAGAATAGAAAGTCATATATTCTCCCGTCAAAAGTCACGGTAATGAACAGCTTGCTGCTGAGAAACTAAACGATATTTGCAGATTTAGTTTGAGTTTTATTGGTTTGTACAACAGTGATAACCACATTATTAATCCTTCTTAGTTTTTGACTGACTTGCATGTCTGAGAGGGAAAAATGCTGAGCTGAGGCAAACGTGCATTCAAGTATAAAAAGAGCAAAGTCATTCTTCCCCTTAGATGACGACAGATCCACGTTTAGTGAAACACTTCAGTGAAACCTCTGTCCTGATACTCCATGCTGATTGAAAAACTAAAGCCCTGCGATCCAAGATTAAATAAGGAGATTATTAACAATGAGTGCATTTTATCATCCCCACTGAAGTCAAATGGTTGCCTGCAAGCTCAATTTGATCTGGACTTGGTAGAAAAATCTCTGCAGATCTGCCTTCTCCCCCCCATTATCTCTCAACTAATTAGTCAGGATGCAGTGGTAATACCCTGACATCCCAGACATTCTGCCACAGATATCGTCTCTCTGAAAAAAATGTCTTTGTGCTTCATCAAACAGTTTAAACAAATGACTCTCATTAGTAGTTCTGAAATCATCACAAATCTCAGTGCATCCTGTTTAACCTACCAGACGATATCCTAAAGTAAATAAACTTTGGAGGAATAATCATAGGCATCATGCATAAAACCCAGACACTTGCCCTAGTTTGTCCTCTTTATGGAGACTGTGGTGGGAATTTAAAAAGATGAAAACAGTTGAACACCTCTGGATTTTGATACATTGGTCATTGTACAATCTCTGGCTGCAGGCTGAAAGGTGGCCCTTGAGATTTTCTGTTTTTGGCTTAACGGGGTTTCCAGGTTGGGCGTCTGAGCCTTTCGGCGCCACAGTAGAATAATAAGCAGCGTGACTCCTACAGGAACACGAATCTTCATCTGAAAGAAAAGCAGGCGGTGATCCTACAAAACTGCTAAAAAGTTTTCATAAGTCAGAGTCCTCGTTGCAAATTGTGCACATTATGAAAGAAGAGGAGGAAAACAGATTTAAGTTCTCACATTTGTGGATACATTTGAGCTAGAGTTAATCTCTCTGCTCGGCTCCTGGTTTTGTTCATAGAGAGACCTTAATTCAGCCTGCTTATACATCTATCTTTAATCCCTGAAAACATTTTATTTAATATACTGCTGCAGTCCTATTTATGGAGAGATTCATCTTTTGAACCTGATGACTGAATGGAAACGGACTGAAAACCATTTAGAGAAACACAGGGCGGTGGAAATAAACTAAGCATTTAATCTGTTACATCACAAGTTTTTGAATATTTTTCACATACAAATCGACAGACTTACTGGGGCTGATGGAGAGTCGAGCCCCAGCAACAGACATCAAAGTGAATGTTGTTTATGATTCATCTGGTTACGGCAGTGCTCTGAGCACAGATGACTGCTAGTGGCTCATATTTATGCACCAAGTGTTTTATGATACCCTTGGCAGAAAAGAAATGCATAACATAAAAGCGAAGAAGGAACAGCCTGATTTTTTTTTTTTTTTTTTTTGCATACACTAAATCTCAAACTGCTGCTGCATTCATGATGAATCCTGCTTCTCTCTTTGTATCTCCTGATCTTTCAGATTTACTCACCTGACCACACTAGCAGTAGTTTTCCATCCAATCCTTCGACACCCGGGGGCTCTCCTTCACCTCTGACGGCCACAGCAGGCGCTGCCTCTGCCGGCACCGTGGTGACTGCTGCTGGCGCCCCATCCGGAAGGCCAGGTATAGCACCAGCCTTTGGATTTTAATCCCCTACACACCGACTTTACACTCACCTTAGATACAGGCAGCAGAAAAAAATAGCTGCACCGAAACCGCCTGAGAAGACATTTCTGCAGCCTCTGAGAAACGGAGAGCAACACAGTCCATTTTTTAAAGCAGACATAGCTCTCATTAAAAGGATGTTGCTAATTTTAACCCTACAAAAAAAATAGTACATAAAAAAAGGAGGTGATGGGAGCATCTCCAAGCACACCTGCGATTTTCCTTAATCTTGGTGCAACCTCAGTGAAGTTTGAAATGGCTTGTTGATGTGGGATTTAAATACTAGAGTGGGATGATTAACCATTTAGACCTTTAAGAGGCTGAAGAGAGCTTCTCGAGGGTATTCCTTTTTGTCTGGATGGTTCACAACCTCATACGACACCTCAAATCCGTAAGTGAAAGTGGAAAATGTTCAAACCTGGAGGTTGGGAATTTAAACACAGCTGGCAAAATATATTGTAGTAAAATCTAGGAAAACACTATTTAGTTTCTGTGCTATTCCTCAATCTCAGTGACATAGCACATTACTTACAGTAGGCCTATTGAAGCCACATCCCTTTACATGTTGTGCATTCCTCCGCCACATTCACAGATGATTTCTAAAATTAAGCACCATTTGATTCAAGAGATCTTATCGTGCTTCCTGCTGCTTTCTGTAACCATATGAACTTCTATACACAGTAGTTTGCATAATTTTCTGTCTCTTTATCCATTAGAATAATGCTGCATATGCCATTTGATGCAATGCCTCCAAAATTCCCAAAGTAAAGTTCACATACAAAGTTTCATGTAATTTTACTGGTGATTTTCTTCTCCTTTGCAACCCTAATTATTATAGCAAATTATAGCTGCTGCGTCTCATACATGGATACATGAAAAACATCACGTTTTGCTTAGTAGAAGGTTGGGTTGGGGGCAGAGGCACATCCAGGAGCTGTAAATTTGTACTCCCTGCAAACAGAAAAAAAAAAACTCTATCACAGCAGACTGATTTGTGATTGGGGGACTTGTGGGAGCAGCCCACTGCCATTTGCATGCAATTTATTAAAAGTAAACACAGTGTACAGCAGTTTGTGAGGGTTGGCATGGCAATTTTCAAATGAGAAGTGTTTCTCTAAACACATGCCTTTTGCTTCCTCCAGGAGGCTGCATGGTTTTCACTCATTGTAAAACAGCTTTGAGCTACTGGAAAAGTAACATAGTCGAAATATTAAGAGATCACTAAAAACGGCTTTAGGTTGGTTGCTCCTTCTCAACACAAGGACATATTGTTCACCAAAATACCAATAAATCACTTAACCAGGCCTCATGTGAACAATCCTCCCACCTACTGACTGCACCGTGCTCACCATCCCTGGAATGAAGACAGCAGAATAAATTAATTTCAGGCGTTGGGAATTTGCCAGATCCGCTCGCTATTCCTGTTCACTTCCTACAAAAAGAAGCACCTGTCAGTAGTTGGATTAATTACTTTAACTTAAGGTTGGATCATTTGGGTGAATCGAATTCTGAACTAAATTGATTGTATGTTGTCCTGAAATTTTAATTGATACCTCCTTTTTGGCTTTAGAATGAATAGTTTAAATCATTTCCCATGCTTTATCTGAGTCAGCACAGCCTGTACCATTTTTATATTAATCCATTCCGAAAGGAAATTGAAAGTCTTTGAAATCATAAAAACATTTGATTTGTTTTTACTGAACATGTACATCAAATGTTGACCTCATCTGAAGAGCTTCCAGCTGCTCGCTGCTTTCTTTCCGTACTCCATGATCACGCGCACACACACACACACAAAAAGATTTGCATTAAAAACCATCAGATCATTGTTTAGTTTGCTCAGGCAGTAACGATACACCTTAACCTCCAGCCTGTGCTGGACTTTCCAGCCAACTGCTTGCAACATGTGCTTTATTCAGCTTTAATCCCGCTGACATCGCTGAGTACTTCTGGCTCTCAACTTTGATTCATGTTCATAGATATAGATTCATCAAACAAGTACGGTCAGAATAATATTCATGCTTTGCCTTAGCCTGGAATTTATTTTTCGACTGATGGAAACTTTTAGACAAGCTCTGGAACGAGGATGTAAATAACAGACAACTCAATTCTGTGGCTTTTTATACCGCTAAAAGTTTGGAAACTCTGGCAGTGAAAGTGTTTGAAGTGGGTCTTAGATTACAATTCTTGAAAAGCCTTTAATTTGAGAAACTGATTTTATGGCTTACAGCAAAAGTTGATGACATGCTCCCTTTTTTGTAATAAGAGGGATTTTCTTTTGTGTAATCCTGCTTTTCCTGAAAGAGAGTTTGTGTTTTGATGTCGGTCTCATTTTTTAAGCTGGACACACAAACTTCCCTCTAAATTGTAATTACCCCGTGCAACAATTGCTGACAACGAAATTCCGGAAAAAATGCAGCACAGCTCATCATCTCATGGTTTAGAGAGCACCGAAGGAGGTTCCTGTTGGTAGTCTGCAGAAAATGGAGATGTGCAGAAAACGAATGCGGACTGTCAGATGTGTTGACAGAGGTGAGAGCGCCAGACAGGGAATGAGGAGGGACAGTAAGGGAAAGCCCAGTGTGTTGTTTTAGCGGGCAGTTGTGTCATGTGCGGTAATGGAGAGGCGACAGCTGTCTCTACGTATGCCCCCCTCATCCTCAGCTGTTGCCCTGCCCCGTGGACAGCTGTTCCCCTAACACACACACACACACACACACACACACATAGACAGAGAGCAGACGGCAAAAGGCTCTGCTTATCTGCCAGCGGGTGAGCAAAGGTGGCTGTGACTCAGCTGATGAGGACCGTGACGATTTTCTTCTCCCGTTTGCAGAGCAGCGCGCCACATCAGGCAGCGTGGCATTGATGAGGACCGAAGCACTTAATCTATATAAGAAGTATAAAAACACTTCTGCCAAATCTATACGTCAGGGACTGTAGAAAGGGGAAATTGTTCGCCTAATTATTCACTCTTATTATCGTTCTGAGGCTGGGAAAAGAGCGATACTCTAGGAACGGCACAAAATTTGGCTCGCTGTTGATGTTCGCGGCAAAATCCATTCATCACTGGGATTACAGCAATACACAGCACATTACTCAGGACTGGTTTGTTCAATTAGCCCTCTCCGGTGCATGTGGGGAGCAGACCCTCAGGCTAATTTTTCATCGCTGCCAGCCAGCAGAGGCTCGTGTGAAGTTCTTCCCTCACTCACCTGGAAGAAAGCTGAGGGAGAGCGGAGGCTTTTTTCATTTCCTTCACTTTTAATAGTCTCTTAATTAAAGTCTGGCTTTTCAGAGGCTGAGTGTGAGAGGAAATGGGAACACTGAAAAACAGAAGACCGCAGGAGTTTAGTCAGACATTTCATCAGAATTAAATAATGGAAAACATTGTGAGCTGCATCCTGAACTCTGACGAGGGCTTGAGCTCTTCTGTCACTGAAATTGTGTTGCTTTCCAAAACCGTAGTGTTGCATTTAGCTGTTCATTATGGGCTTAGTCTGACCATACAGGTCGTTATTTGAATAAAAGAATATATTTAATTTACAATTCCGATTAAAACAATACATAATCTTCTCACCTGTGATTTTTGTGCTTCACACCACACTTTTTCATATGATCCTTTAAAGAGTGGGAAAAACACAATCATTACTTCTAGGCCCTCTGCTCTAAAAAATCCCCACCATCCTGCTCTACACTTTTTATTACCTGCTATTATAAGAAGTGGAGAACCGCAGACTCACTCCAAATGAGGGGGTAACTAAAACAAAGTATCCATCAGACTCCATTGGATTTGGCATCCCTCCACTATGATAGATGTCAGAGGAGCATTGGCATAAGATGAGAGTTTCAGAAACAACCCGTCCTTTAAATAACATGGAAAAAGGTTCTTTATTGTTTAAAACCATCACAATCTTTTGATTGTATAAAAACATATTAGCTCCTAGTACACATAGCTTGTGGTTTGCTTGGATCTGAAGTGGAAAGTAATACATACATTACAGCTCAAAATGTGATGAACAGATGTGGATTTTATTCTTCTAATTTACAACAAATCCAATCAGCGTGATTCGTTTCTTTGTTGGGACAAACGCTTTCCATCCGAAGTTTGTTTACTTGTGCAGCGCTTGCAAGATTATTCCATGTTGAGATTGTGTAATTGAGATGTAAAGCGGGAAATTTAGCAAATTACGTCTTGTTTCTGATCAGATGTGGAATGTTACCACTGCTACCACATCAGGGAAATGACAACGCAGATAACTTAGCTGTGTAAACTCAAGTACAAAAGCTGACATTTGGCATTTTCCCATCATTTTAAGGCTTACAGATTTTTCATCACATACCAGCTGATATTCCTGCACAGACCCAAAGTCTCCGACAAACAAAATTCACTGGTGTCCACACTTTTTCAGTGTGCCCTTTTTTAATTGCATGTGACTGTACAAACATGGTGCTACATTTCAGGGTGGAAGTGGGCGTGAGTCAAACCCTCTGCTAGGAGCTGTGTCAGGATGCAGTACAGCCATCAGGAAATGTTGTAGTTGGGTCTTGACAGATAAAAATATCCTTTATAGAACAGCGAGAGGCCTTAAAATCAGGATGTCTGTGTGTCATGACTGCATGTTGAGTTTCTCAGCACGCACAGGGTTCTGCAGTACTCGGCTTCTGGCCTCGTCGATATAAGACTGAATCAGAGGATTACTAACTCTGACCTCACTCTCTCTGACCTCACTTTTTTCCCCATCAGGTACCAACCAGTGGCCCCGTACAAGTGGACAGGCCCCCTCTTCTCCAAATTATGAGAACTCCCTTCACTCACTGGTAAGCTCCCCATCCACCGCCCTCCTCCAGTGAGCGAATGATATGATGGATGCTTACTTTAGATAAGCTACTCATGAAGGACTGAGCTAGCATTACGGGGAGATTCCTGTCTGACAAATGTTTTTCTGAGGGAGGTGGGGGTTGAGGGATAACCAAACTGAACAATACCTGTCTCTTGGGGCTCGCCATCTGTCCTCGACTCTATGGGCTGGGGACAGGGATGACAGTTGGGGGGATGGGTTGAGTTAAGCAGAGTGGTGTGGGGAAGTGGCAGCTGTTTACTGAACCGCTTCTCCAGAATTCCTTCGCTGCCATGCGACTACAGCTAAGGATCACATTACACCTCCCCGCCCGACTACCTGACGTACCCTGTGTATTTATGTCCCCCGGCATGACATTAATACAATACTTAAAACACTCGTTTCACAGAAGTCCAAACATTTTTTTCACAGTACATAAAAATGAAGATGCACAGAATTTACAGAAAATCACCAGACGTCAGTCCTGACAGCACACATTAAAAGGCCCTAAATATTTATAAGAAAATACATACTTATACATACTTTCCCTGTATGTAGCTCACTACATAAAGCTGCCTGGTGTCCTGTCAGATGGCAGTTTGCAGGTTTTCATTCAGCCAGCAAATTTTATGGCTGTAAGATTTACTTGTACGCAATAAAACTTAAAAACGTCTTTGTATGAAGCTGTTAAAGATTTTAAATTGGAAGAAGAACAGCAAAAATGTGAAAGAGTGCACCTCTTAATTCTTCCTTTGAGACCTACCGAACCATTTTGGCTCACGAGTGGTTAAAATAAGACTTCATTACAGCTTGGAGTAGATCAATTGTTCCACTGGCAGGAGGTGAAGGAAAGCATACATGAAGATGTTTAAGAGTGCATTTGAATAAAATCATGGACCAAATATCCCTGATTGTCTAGTAAAAAGTATATGATTTAGAGTTCAGTTAAAATTGTTCAGCACAGGTGGACAAAACAGATAATAGAAGTGACATTAACAACCTTTTGCAGTGGCAGTCTCCATTTCAAACATTGTAAAGAGCCAAACAGCAAACATCTATGCCCAGCAGTAACTGTAAAGTAGAGGATGTGAGCTGGGCGATGGTAGGAGCTGGTAAATGTGTAAATACCAAAACATTTTACTCTCTACAAAGTGAATGATCAGCAGCTGTGCACTTCGGTCTAAATCCCTCCCCGTCTTGTGTGTGACTTCACAAAAAACAATCTCTATCCTCAGTGTTTTTGCAGCACTTAAAGACCCTGACCTCTTCTCATAATTCTTTCTTATTCTCATTTGATTTTGCCAGAAAAACAGAGTTCATCAGCAGTTACATGAGCATCTCCAGGATGCCATGTCTTTCTTAAAGGATGTCTGCGAGGTACTTTTCAGATAGTCTTTACTCATTAGGTGTTCCATACATCATTGGATTTTGTTTTTTCAGACCAGTTCAACTACATTTGTCATTGCAAAATACCGTTTCATTTTTTTGGTTGCTTTATTGTCATGTCATTGTGTCTTTTACTGTCATTCCAGCTTGTAGTAACAAGTTTCGATCATACAGGTAATTTTACTCATGGCCTATGTGTGTAGACTTCCTTCTTTATTTAGTTAAAAACAAATAAAGACATTCTGTCTGTGGCAACTCAAGCTGAAATGACTGTTGTTTTTACATTTGAATCGTCTTCTTTATCTTAAGACTCAGATTTTTTTTTCTCAGTCCACACCATACAATCAGTATTTTAGATTTTTGTCCTAATGTGCTTATACTAAGCTGCTCTGTCCTCCTTCTCCCTCCTCTCCTCTCCTTCTCCCTCTCCCGACCTCCTCTTTTCTCAATCCCCCTGGTCCTCCCAGTCTCGTATGGAGGATCGTTTGGACAGGCTGGATGATGCAATCCTTGTTCTGAGGAACCATGCAGTGGGCTCCACCACCAGTCTGCCCAGTGACATACACAGTCTGCTGGGACAGGCACAAAATGGGCCAATAACAGCCATTGGACCAAACTTCCCTGCCTCTGCACTGGTCCCGGGTCGGACCGCAGCAATGGTATGATAAATCCAAAGTATTTCTTTAATATTTTCTTTAATATTTCTTTGCATTATTCCTGCGTGGTATATGCGAAAATCCCCCCCTCTAAAGGCTCAGTCACCTGCTCATATCTGGAGGTCCAAACTAGACTTTTTCCACGCATGAACAGTTGAATTTATACTGACATATTTTCCATAAGTGTAATGCCTGGCCTTAAGCTCACCCTCCTCTTGAGAGCGGCTGTATACACAGGGGTGAAAGAGAAATGAGAAAAACAGGCGCTATAAAGTGAAGTTGTGCTTCAGTGTGGGATGTGTTTGTGTCCAGCGCTCCGTTAGAGTTTAAACCCGAAGCCTCTCGAGGAGCAGGGGAATGCAGGTCTCAGTATAAATCAGAACATGCTCACCCATCCTCCTTCCAAGGCATTTCATTTTATAGAGCGGACAGATTTGGACACATCTGCAGTGGAAATTAAAATGGGGCGGCCTGCCCAACCGTAATCCGTAGGTGTCTGGAAGTCAGTAAAAAAATAAAATAAATCAGGAATCAGTCTGAATACAGGTACAATTTCAGATAAGCTGTAGTAAGCAGGCAGCGACCTGATCAATCCGCTTTTTCAGGGTAAAGCATCACATTTCATTTTTCATCTCCCCTGTCTTGTTCTTTTGTCAGGATAAGACATAATGTCATGAAAACAGTTCTGTTGGAAAGTGATGGCTTTTTCTCTTTTGAAAATCAACGTGATCAGTGGATGTGACCGCTTTTCTTTATCACTACAGCTATAGTTATTTAAATGCTGTTGGATTTTGGGTCTGTTTTCTGGTGGTTTTTTTCTTCTCTCTCTGTGAGAGTTTTGACTCTGATGGTCAGGATGTTCAGTCGTTATTTTGTATCCTAACAAGAATTTTTCTTTGGTTGTCAGAAGGGCTCAGTGTGATGTATTTGTTACGGAGGGCTGGCTTGTGGCAGCGATGTTGACCGACTGCGACTGTGAGATAGAACATACTGTGTCTGCACTAACACAGCACTTCCTGTGTGGGAAGAGGTCTCTTCAGACAGGGCTCAACAGCCTCGGCACAGCACAGCCGCAGGGTTTTTATTGATGCCCCACCCTCTAGTCCCTTCCACTCCTTTTCATCACTTCTTTTAACAACCCAGGAAATCTGAATCGTTGGAAACGTGTGTCTGAACCCCCGGCCTCCACCCAAATAGAGGTCCTCAGCTGTATGGTAATCAGGCCGAGCCATGAAAATGGCAGCGTTCTTTTCTCGCCAGAGCCCCAGCTTCCCTCCTCCTCATCCAGACAAAGACTTGTTTGGACACCTGTTGAGAGCACAGCAAAGATTAGCGTAGTGCTGAGGAAGGGGAGGATCTCGGAGTGGTGGGGTTAACAGAGGCCAACAGTGACTAGGGATCACATTCCAGTAGAAAAGGGGGAGATACTCTCCACCCACAGTGACGATTTCTCCGCCTTTCCTCGGTCCTCAAAAGGGAAATCAAATAGCTTTAGAGCATGTTGTAAAGGAGGACTGTGGAACAACAAGGTGGGAGTTGACCACTTTTATGTAATGAATTTGGACAAAGTAAGAAGAAAATGTTCAGAGTTTGGAGTGGGTTTAGTACAGAATACAGAATGACTGAGGACAAGAGACAGTTGTGGTTACACAAAGCTTTGCCTGAAATGTCACAGCAGTCCCACCATGTGGCATAAACAGATAGACAAATAGGTTGTGTTGAGCCTGGTTCATTTATATAACATAAATGATCTGTAAAGATATTCAACAGAGCATTTTTGTTTTTCAAAAACAGCATTTTAACACATCTTTAAAATGAAATGAATCCAATTCAAAGCATTTGGTGTAACTTCAGACACCCCAGACAGTTTTTCTGTTAAGAGCCATAAGATTGTCCATATTTAGCTCTTAACAAGCTGTGATCTGTGGCTGAAAAGTATTGTTCTCTGCACCGTCTCCAGAGGCTGTCTACTTCCTTTCCTCACATGTCCTTCCTGTCTGTGTTGCAGCAGGGTGGTGATGACGCTGCCAGCCTGAACAACAGCCACGGAGGCCTGCCCAGCGCCGGCTCTACGTCCAGCTCAGAACTCAGCCACCAAGTGGAGGCATTCAGAGGTAAGACGCGCTGCCGTCCACTCATGCGCTCGACTGATGTGGTTCTGTGTGTGTTTGACATTTTGCATCCACTACGTCACTTGCAGCAGGTCTCACCTCAGGGCTGCCTGGACAGGTGCCTTCCACCCTGGAGCTAAAGGTTGAGAAACAGGAAAAGGATGACATGCACGACAGTCTCTCCACTGATGCCAAGTCCGACGATGAAAGCGACAGAAGAGATATGAAGACACCCAGAACAGGCGCACGCACAAGGTAGGAGCATTGTATTAGAAAGAAGTCTACCGATATTTTTCACAAGAGGAATAATTCCAGGTAGGTTCCAGTGTTTGGTCACAGAAAGACCTGTGACATAAGATCTGGACGAACTCAGGCTCAGCATTTTATATTTGTGTTTAAGAAAGAGATTTTCTAAAGTGGTTTACTGCATAATTACAAAAATTATGAAGCCTGAAGGCGATAAGAAAATAAAATGAGTTTCATCATCACAACTTCAGTGTCTTACGCATGTTTGGTGGCCAGGAAAAGGCCCTTCAATGGGTTTAGCAACTCTGCCAAAGGACGTGTATCTTTAACACAGAAACAAAGGATGTAGACAAAAGTAGGAAGTTTCCCCTTTTGGATAAAGGGTCTTTAGCCTCCTGTCCTCTACATCAACAAGAAGGAAAACAGATAGTTGAACTGATGTTGAAAAGTCCAGTTAGTTTTTGTTTTAAATAGATAATTGATTTGATTAATTCAGTTGGCATTCTTGATAAATGGTGAGTATGCTGGTTTAAAACTGGACTTTATAATGTTATCAGCGTACTTAGATGAGTCAGAGAGGGGTTAGAGCGTTTCTTTTGCATTCTTTTTGGCTAAATCCTCTCTCTTTTGCAGCAGTATCACTGAAGATGAGGACCTGAATCCAGAACAGAAAGCCGAACGCGAGCGCGAGAGGAGGATGGCCAACAACGCCCGAGAGCGCCTGAGAGTGCGAGACATCAACGAGGCCTTCAAGGAGCTGGGCCGTATGTGCCAGCTGCACCTGAAAAGCGAGAAGCCCCAGACAAAACTGCTCATCCTCCATCAGGCTGTGGCCGTCATTCTCAGCTTGGAGCAGCAAGTCAGAGGTCAGTGTCGCATTGCCACCAGTGTCTGAAACGTCAGCGCTTTCTCACCAGTCCTGAGAACAACCGGGCTATTTTCATGTCTGCTCCACATTGTTTAATAAATGTTTTGTTGTCAAACTGTATTACGGTATGTCCGTCATGTATTTTCATTTGCCTACAGAAATTGAATTCACAGAATAAAAAAATTAAACATCAACTGTTTTTTTCCCTGACCTGGAATAACTCAGCTATTGTTTTCATATATCAAGTGATCCTTTTATTCTAGTGTCAGACCCGGAGCAGACGATAAGTGGAGCCCCAGACTGAGCTGTACTCTGATTTATAGACAGCTAGTTCACCTCACACACCTAAGTAATATGGGTGCTGAGCCATCATATCACACCAATAAATAACTTGCGGACATTATGTCTATAAAAGAGCGTTTGAATATTATTCCACTAACAGCTTTCCTAAAAGCTGCATTGCCACATACCATAGATCCGCTTTGAGTGATAAAACAAGTTGATTTAGAAATGTTGGTGTTTTATCTGAACCTTTTACAAAAACATTAGTTAAATAAGCAGAGAAGTTTGATTTCAGTCTTTTTGAACCCACAGAGCGGAATTTGAACCCCAAAGCAGCCTGCCTTAAGAGACGGGAAGAGGAGAAAGTGTCTGGGGGCTCCAGTGACACCCAACAAGCTCACACAGGAGTCCATCCAGGCCTAACTGACACGTCCAACCCCATGGGCCACCTCTAAACAGCAGACAGGTACTCTTTACTCAGCTAACCTTCATTAACATCTCAGTGGACCATCAACATCCAGTTTATCTTTTCCTAGATCTGTGTATATATTTTCTAACCTTAACTAAAATGTATTGTTGATGATCCCAAACTAATCAGCACAATCATTTCCCCTCTCTTAGGATAAGCACGATGCGGATCGTTTCTGTCCCGTTTGAGGAGGAGACCTTGCTTCCCAGTGACAGACCGGACTCTGTGTTTGTGACATCAATTGGCGGACACAAAACCACTTGAAGCAAAACCACGAGTCTAACACAATCCAGTCCTAAGATTGAAGAAGAGCCAAGCGTCCAGCTCCCTGTGAACCGTTTCCATCTGCAAAATTGTCCCCCACAAGAAAAATCCTCAGCACATATCACTGTCTGCAAGAAGTGTGATGCTTCTGAACAATCAGAGACTTTGCAATCTCCTCCAACCATATGTGGAAATTGCCTTGTGCCTAAACTGAATTGACGAATGCATTGTAACAGCAATTGTTTCTGTTTGTCTGTTTTTTTTTTTTCCTATTTATTATGTTATTGAGCTATAAAGTGTATGTCTAAAGGGAAGTTTCGGTAAATTCAAAGACAAGCATGCAGTTTTTCAGTTTATCTATAGTTTGCTGGTGTCATCATTGAAACTGAGCACTCCACCCTGAAAAGTCTTTGACCAGCAGAAGATGAGGGGAAAGATTTGGGCACTGATTGAATTTAATTTATTGGCCAGTTTAGATTGATATTTATATTCAGCTGAAAATAGCTGAAGCGAGTGAATAAAGCCCCCCCCCCTCTCCACTTCTATTCTTTTATAAAGTCCACATGTTATTTATGTTTCTATGTTCCTCATTCTGACACCTGTCCAACTTAAACTACCTAATGTGTGTTTGCGTGCGGTCAGTGACTGAGCATTGCAACAAACAGGCCCAGCTACATTAAAACCAACATTTTGTCTGTGAAGGTGATGGAGGAGTAGCATACTGTAGTTTTACTGAAAGCTCAGATTTAGTTATGTTTCCCGTTTGTTTGTTTTGGTTTTCCTTGGTAGTGAGCAGTAAAAAATACAGAGAGCAAACTATCTTCAGCCCTTAGCATTCCCTATGTATTGTTTTAGTGTCTTAACTAAAGGAAGAGGGGATATGACTGGCCCGTCGTTCCTTTGCCATATAGTGTTAAATGTAAGCAGTAACATATATTTGCAGATGCTAGTCCACATATAGCCTCCTGTCACGGAAATCGTGAGCTCAGAGTAGGGATGGCTTGTTTGTTTGTTTTTTGTTGTTGTTTTTGTTTTTTGTTACCAGCAATTCAAGACACTGCTTCACAGAGATGTAGCTTATTATAAAATTTAAAAAAAGGAAAAAAAACAAATAAACGATGACCACACTTTCTCCTGGCCTGATGAACATATCCATTTTCCTTCTGTTAATACTTCAGACATTACATTTCAAGCGCAGTTATTCAGAGTAATGTTTAGTTATGCTCATTTGTGTTGTAACAGTTACTTTCTAATGACTTTCAGCATTATGATGTCCACTTTCAGAGAGCATCTAAGTTATTTTTCTATTATGTTTTGATCAAGCACGATAGCCAGGCTCCATATTTCATAGATTTTGTCGGATATCATTGAACTGTGGCGTGATAATGAACAAAAGCAGTTTATTTTACATTTGTACACTTTTGTCATGGCTTCATTTCATTTTCCCTATCAGTGTGCATGCTTTACATTTCTCCTTTTATAAAATATTTGGTTTTAAGACTTGCTTTATATTCCATATATTTCTTTGTATATTACCATTATTTACACTTTAAACAAGGCCACAACATTCAGATTGAGTATTCTGTACAATAAAGGGACTCCAGAGAGAATTAAGGATGCTACCAGTTTACATTCAATGTGGGAGTTAGAAGAACATAATCATTTTTGTGTGTATTCTCTGACTGAATGTGGCCTTGTTCTTCATTTCAGTATTTCATGATCTTGTATTCATGTTGGCGGACTTCAGCTGAGGGATAATGTATGTCACTTCCAGCTCTATTTCCTTCATTCATTTAAGATTTTCTGTTCCTCCTGTATTTCTTTGCTCCTCTGTTTGCCAAGTTAGACTTTGCTGTATACCAGATGCTTTCCCATTGTATAATATATGATGAAAAAAAAAGAAAATCAAAGGAAAAAAAACATTTGGCTTATTTTTCACTGTAGTTAGTCTTTTATACAATAATACTGTAAGAATATTTCTTGAATTCTAAATATTACTCTTTCTAGATTTTTGAAAGCAAAAGTTTTGAGTAAAAAGTTTCTTACTTTATTTTACTATATTAGATAGTAAAATGTACGGTTATTTACCATAACATGTCCATTATGACAAGATATTCTCCATGGCATCTCCAGAGCACAGCTCAAAGGTTGCTGGTTGTCTCGCTCTTAAAACGGCTCTTGTACAAACGAGCTCCAGATCACCCAAACAGCAACCTCCATCTTACTCTCCAGTCTCCGTTGTCAATTGATAAAAGATTTATTCTTGTGTCAAATAAAGGGTGTTGTTGATGCACATCGAAAAGGAAAACAAACAAAAAACAAGAAAAAACTGCGGCAGCAAGAATTTGAATTTTCTGTCTTTTTCAACAGAAAAAAAACCAATGTATATAACATTTATGTTGCAATAAATGTGCCATCTTTTTTTAAACTCTATTGTACGTGCATTTATTTCCCTGTCCGAGCGCACTCGTCTCCATTACTTTCAGTATCTGAGTTACGTATTGGTTTGTTGAAAACGCAGAATCAAAATGAGGTTCATTTACACTCCATTTTTATTTTAGTTTTAAAGACATTTCTACAGTGGATTTAGGCCAAATGACTGTTTTATAGTATGTTACTCTTTGAAATAACAGTGAACCGTTGTAGTCTGTATGAAAAGTACTATGAATATATGTTTCTATTTTTAATAAAGTGTGATAGCAGCGTGCTGTACATGTGCTGTGGTCCTACTTTGTCTTTACATTTAGAAGCTGGGAGTTCCTTACTTTTTTATTACATTGATGTAAATCAACGATTAACATTGATGAAATTATACTTTAAGAGCACTGTAACTCTCTGTGCTGAGAGTCAGTCTTTAGTTTGAGCTGTGTAGCTGCAAAACAGGAAAACAGATTTACTGAAGATTGAGGCTGCCTTATGAAAATTCCATAGCCCAAAAACCTTCCGAGAACATTTTTGGCTTGAACTGTGCTGTGACTGTATTTAATGAATCCCACAAGTTGTTGTCAAATGCAGCTCAACCTGCAGGACTGCTGTGCTCTAAATCTCAGGATCCATACATCTGCACTAAATTATCTTCATGCAGATGGAAGTAAGACGGCCCCTCGTCTCCTCCGTGGAGGGCCGATCTCGGTTCGGTTTCCTGACAGAGGTGATGCTCGGTGGGAAAGTTGCTGACTGCTGTTTCAGTCTGTGGTGAGACGCGGCATAAATCATAGCTGTTCGCTGCAGAGATGAGCAGCAGAGTGTCTGAGTGCGGTGGCTGTGCATGTTTTGTGTAAGAGTTGGACCACCATGTTTGAAAGGCTGACTTCCTGCCATTGCTTCTCGCTGGGCCAGCTGACAGAAGGTCCTTGGCTCGCATCCTTGAAACTGGACCAAAGAGCCTGCTTCTCCTCCTACTCTAATGATGAGATCATCCGCCTCTCTGCTTCTTTCAAAAGGCGGGCTAAACTAATCAAGCTGCTTGAATTTGAAGAATCTTTTTTCAGATTCCTCGGTCGTCAAGATCGGTGGATTTACTGGTGGAGGAAAAATGATGCTTTCTTGAGCTTAAATAGAACAAAAAGAAAAAAAAAATGAAAAACAGAGATCAGCTGTCATCATAAACTATGTCAAATTAATATGTACATGACTTCCCGCAGGGAATACTGGCACCATTTCAGTGTGTGCAGTAAATGGTGTGAAATATTCTCCACAGTACTTAGCAGTGAACACAATTCAACAGGAATGAACAACACATTGCTCAATAATGAGCCAACAGATGCATGCATTTCTCTCCAAGTCTGTCTTTACTGACACATCCGTATGCACACAGACAGCCCGGCTGGTTTCAAAAGGAGGAAACTGTATTCACATAAGAGGACCACAGTCTAAAACTACAGCCTTCAGCTTTCAGTTTTGCATTGAAAATGTGGTATGAATAATACCTTTCATCATTCAGAGTACAAAAGCATAGAAGCTGATTAAACTCAATGCAGAAAAAGACGGCTGCATCTGATTTATTGGAACAAACGGTAATGTTGAAACAGGATTTTACCATTAGGGCTGTCCCAATACACAGTGGGGTATAGTTTTTACATTTCACTGTCAGACTGATGTGCTGCCAGACTCTGGTTTCTGACCCATGGTCGACACTGTACAGTTGGCATTACGATACCCAGGAAAGTTATGCTCAGTGCCAGAGTAAATATACATTCGTCCATTCCACTTATTTGCACCCTCTGTCCACACTGGCTGTGGAGTGTGTGACTAACAGAATGCACAGCCCTTGCTTTTTATGTGCAGATGCATGTTTGTTTTCGGCTTGAGCCAGTCCGAGGATCCAGCCTGCTGACTTAGACAGCACCAGAGTCCTTGGTTGGCACGATGGAGGATCCGAACTCAGGGCACAGCCACTTAAAATCCAACAGAGGAGCTTTATTAAACATTGCAACACAGTCCAAAGGAAAAAGGCGAGAAAATAAGACACAGAAGAGCGGAGGCTGCACACAACACGAGAAAAACGCAAACAAACAGCTCAAACCAAGCAGCAGAAACACTGAGGAGCGTGAGAGCTCAGGTGAGAGGCACAAAACTAAGCCCAAACGGGCGTGAAGGGAAAACAGGGAAAAGCAAAAACTGTTTCCAAATAACACAAAGCTGGCTCAAATATTAAAGACCAGAGAACTTCAACATGAAACAAAACCCAGAGCCTGACAATTAGCCGACCGCTTTCCAGCAATGGATCTCAGCCATCAGGCCGGCTCATCGAGTTCAGAGAAAAAGATTTAATCAAGCTTTAAGTACAATTCTGAAATGTATGTCCATGAGAGTTGGCCCTTGAAGGCCAGAAATCCTCCTTACTGTTTAATTGGACAGTGCACTGAGCATGCCCACAGGTCCCAGCTGTGGCACCTCAGCAGAGAACAGAGGTCCCATTGTGGGCGGCTGTAACCCAACACAGGGGCTCGGATTAAAGGCTGCGGTCCTGGAGGTCTCTGCGGACCCAAATATAAACAGTCAGCCACTACAAAGGCAAGGGGGCAGCTGGGTCCCCAGTTTAATGTAGTTTATACTACAGTGGTTGCATTTATTAAAAAAAAAAAAAAAAGAAAAAAAAAAGGACAGCGCATTCAATTGGTCTGTCAGGAATTTAAAATATATCAGACGGATATTTCCTTTGCGAAAATGAGAACGTTTAATTCAGGAAAAAGGATGAGCAATTTGTTCCAGTGCTTCAGTGTAATAACGGGTTGTTATTTCATGCTTCTTATGGTGGTAAAATCAAGTTCCTGCCGTTGGTCAAACCATAAAACTATCAACAAAATAAACCGGAAGAGGGACATATAAATACAGTGGGCTATGGCTTCATCAGATTCTGACCACAATAAGAAAAAAAAGTCAGCAGTTCTTTTATCTATGAGAGTAAAAAGAACTTATGTTGCATAAACGTGAGTGGCAGAACTATGTTTCCACCAACTGCACATCAGCTGCGGGGGGATTTCTGCCTGATCCTGTCAGAACAGCTTTAACTCTAAAAGAACAGGTGAACGTTCCACTTCCACTGAATTCAAGTCAGAACTTTGACTTTATTTCTTAAGTCGTTCTTTGGTAGCACAGCATTTGTATTTTGGCTCAACATCTGACAGCCTGAAAAAGAGAAAAAAGATATCCTGAATTTCTCCCCAAAAATGCATAATTTGCATTGATGGTGACAAGCTAGGCTGGGCCAGATAATGCTTTGACTGGGTTTTACAGATTAAAAATTAAATTCTAGGACTAAAATCTATCTTCGGTCTCATAGAAAACTTCTTCCATCTACCTTTATCTACACTGTTGCTGTTCTGTGTTCTCCTGATAACCAACAAAAGAACGCCTACATGAGAAAATGCTGGAGTTGGACCGCCATCCTTGCTATGGTGGATCTGATGCTGCTGAATTTCCCTGCTGTGGGGCTAATAAATGTTTATCTTATCTCATATCTTTTGATCCGCCGCTCTTGGGTAGAGTCCTCAATTTCATCCATTTGTACACAATTTACCAAACTGGAGTGGTGGAGCCCGATCTCTTTAGAGTGGATTTTGTAATACTTTTCAGCCCGATGAATATCAGAAAGTCTTTTCCTGACCTCCTCTGAAACTATTTCTGTGTAAGTCTTTAAAAGCCTTTCAAACATTTGTTGAGAGACTAAAATTTCGAGTGAGCGATTTTAGTTGATTCTCGCTCAGAGGATTGAACATGCTGATCCTGCTCATATATAATGTGTGTGTGTGTGTGTGTGTGTGTGTGTGTGTGTGTGTGTGTGTGTGTGTGTGTGTGTGTGTGTGTTGCAACTGATTTCCTTACCTCAAATATTTAAGCAGGCAGTGTATGCTCCATATTAACAAAAGTCTGGACCTTGCTGTCTGTCACCTCAGGCACTGGGCGTGGATGATCACTATTTCTCATCGTATCCTATCTTGTCTCACAGATTAGCTGGTTCACTGAGACCAGAACGGTCACACTAATTGATTTAAGACATAATTAAAAAGATGATACTCGAAGGGCTTAGTATCTAAATTCTGTTTATGGTCATTAACCGAAGTGGAACAGGCTCTAATAGCGTTTGGACTGGGTCAGATTCCCCAATGAGTGTAGATGGGAGTATTCATTGTTCAGCATTGCTGTTTTAGTCTTTATATACAAGAAGGTGCTCACTTCAAACACCATAGGTTTATTACATTCACGGATTTCCTGAGCATCATTGCTACCTTTTTTCTTTTGCACTTGAGACGGGTTCTCATTACGTAACAGCTTTCAGGTCAGCCTGTTATCCACTAGATGACGCTCTAGGTTTTGAAAGTCATGCGGTAACAAATTGCGTTTATGCAGAATTCAAACGGTTGTTGTCACATTTTACAAGCCAATTATGTCGTTTAACTATCAGCAGGTTAGAGCACCAAAGTGATTAGCTGTTGCAGAAGTGATTAAAATGCCTATTGACTAAAAAAAAAAAGTGCGCTGATTGATGTTGTCCTACAATCTCATGATATTCACGTGCACGGTTTTGGACATTTGCGAGTTATTTCTGAAAGAAAAACAACTTTTCCCACCACAGAGTGGGAATTTAAAGCACGTCACGCTCCCTTCTCTTATTTGACAGCGAGTGAGGAATCGGTTGGGAAGTCCAACTCTTAACACAATCCACTTTGTGTCGGTTTGAGGGCGTGTGGGGAGCCGTGCTGTCTTTATTCCAGCCGAACCGAACTCGGCCGGTCCCGGGACAGCCCCCGTCCCGTCTGCAGGGGGGGGTCGCCGCCTTAAATCCGTCCCTGGAGCAGCCGGACCGCGGCTCTGGGCGGGAGGGCGGCTTTGGGCGGGTTTGGGCGGGTTCGGTTGCTCGTTGGTGGAGGCGGAGCGGCCGGTGGACGGACGTCCTTCTGGAAGGACTCGCCCTCTCACTCAGGAGACTACACGGGAACAAATAAGTTAGCGAAGTGCACCGCGGGCACTCTGCTAAAGAGTTTAACTCTTTAAAGAAAAAAAAAAACACACCAGAAAAAAAACGTTTCTTATCTGCGACAAGTGCACGAGACAGAGAAACGGTGCTGGTGAGTAACTAAGCTAACTGTCTGTCTGAACAGCTGTTAAAGAGCCGTTAAACCCAAAATGAAGCTTTTAACGTGATTCGGCGGCGACAAGAGACGTCAGACTCATTTGTTCTGGCTGTTGAGGATTTGTTTGGACTGGCTGAGTTGAGACAAAGTAGCAGGGAGTGGGAACTTTTGCCTTTAAGTCCCGGGCTGGAGGCGCCTTTCCACCTGTTGCGCTGAGCATCAAAAATGCCCACAAACTGCGTCAAATCCAACCGCTGTTTCTCCGCTTTAGCCTTCCAGCTACTACAGTAAGCCTCGTCTGTGGATTTAGACATTTAGACACAGGTTTTCATTATGTTTCCAGTTGCTCCTGTGCCCACACGGTCGGAGCGCACAGTCAGCTTACGTAACTTATCATATTTTCCCACAATCTCAGCTGTCCGATGTAACTTTGTTTTATTCACCCTTTTAATTTTTGTTTAACCTTTTCCACGTTTGCTCATAGCAACTCTACGGTGGCCCTGATGTACCAACAAGGAAACCTGTCATAAAACGCACATTTTCAGCAAAGAATCGACCTGTGCTGGTCTGTTTTGTTGTGGTCTGAGTATTTTGAGAAATGCTGTGTGTCCCGTTTGGGAACCTTTCAGTTTCATTCGTGTGCTTTGTGACATGTTCTCCATTTGTCCCAGCCGCTCTTGGTGATGTTCAGAATGTGTTTTTGTGTGAAATGGGTCCCAGTGGCTGTGAACACTGCGTCAGGCCTGTAGGAGACGGCTCACTTGCACTAAAATCAGTGCATTTGGGTCTTTGCCCACTCTTTCCCATTCACAGATCAAAGCAGGGGCTGGGATGCCCCAATCAATGTGACATCCCAGCCTGTGTCGTCATTCTCCAGCACCAAGAATCAGTGAAGGGAGCACATCTCCATAGAAACGGGTCTATAGTGTAGTTTTTAAGCTTTAAACTGTCCTCAGCGGTACCTCTGGGCAGAGCACTTCACCTTGCATACCTATTCTCCTCCCCCCTGTGCAGACTGAAGGACAAAAAGCTGACTAATTCTGGATAATTGAGGCTTCAGCCCCAATCAGTCACAATGTAACTCACATACTTACGAAAACCAAGTATAGTTGAATCATACTGAATGAGTGGCAGTCATTTGTTTTACGCTGTGCTTTATGGCGGCTAACAAAACAAAATTTATAGTTTCTCGGAATAATATGTCTCTGGGATGAGAAAGGGGAATTGTCTTTAATGGGCTGGGTAACTATTTCAGCTGCAGTTTATAAAGTAATCTATCATGAGAAGCGAAAGAATCTGGTCTCCTTCCAGCTAAACACTTAGCATCTCTCTCACTGAACTCTGCGGGTGGAATTGCTGAAATCCTCTGCCAGATAAAATAACCACGGTTGGATGTCTGTTTTTGGTAAATCCAGCACACTGAGTACAAGACAAGCATGTGTACTCTGTCACATTTGCACCGTGATAGAACTAAGCGTACAGTTCTACAATCACATCCTCCCTGCAGTGGCTGAATGCAACTAGAAGCATAAGAAACGAGGAACATTTGGACATCTTGTCAGGTTGTGAACTGCTTTATCATCCCACAACTCTACATGAGAATCTAACCAGACCACGACTTGCCATTTGGCCTGTCTGTACCCATTTAAGGCTGACATGATATAGTATTCCTTTGCCTTTGTCGTCAGCCTTATCTGTGCTCTTCCTCTGGGCCCAACCTGTTCCATCTTTGTATGGTAGCATAAGGAAGAATGGGTCACTTGTCAGCAAGATTAACAGGAACCTGTTAAAGTCCTGCGTTTCAGTCAAACACACAATGGCTTCTGACGGCTTTGTGTTCACCGAGCAGAAATGTTTCTGAAGACCGCTAACCACTTTATGCCGTTTACCGTCAGCTGATCTTTGGCATTTGGCAGAAGATCTGTCTGCAAACCTTTGTTTATTTTTATCGGCTGGGGCCTTCATTCTTCATTTTGGGACCTTCTGAGTTAATGTATGCAACGAAGCAACAGCTGCATAGGTGATTTGTGAGGTACAGTCAAGCTGTCACAGCACACAAACAGACAAACCTACAGCTCAGAGGTTTGTTGTTGTTTCAGGTCTCACAGATTTCTATCGAGTTATCATCCCTGTGTTGGTACTTTTCTCTTAACCTGTTTATCCTGTGCTCGTTGTTACACACAGTCTTTTTTGTGACTTTATACATGTTAGTCACACCCCTGGAAGTCTCTTTTAAACACTTCCTGTTTGTTTTATGCTGTTAATTGGAATGTGGTAGTTGTTGAGTCCCATCCTGATACATTAAGCTTTCTTGTCTCATGGTTCATTTAGCCAGAGCACATTAGCACAGTGGTCTTACTGAGAAGATTCCTAGGTAGAGAGAAAATAAGGAAGGGAAATGAAAGTGTGGAATGCGCAGTTGAATGCAACAAAATTTTGACATGTCATTATTGTTGGCGTTAAAAACCTTTTGTAGTCAGTACTGAATCATGTGGTGTCTCATCTCTGACTAACCCAGCTGGTCTTAATCTTATCTTGCATAGGTGGGCCACCTGATCTGAGGAGAGGGATTTATTTTCCTTTCACATTCCTTATGGAGCCCTACAGAGTGACTAGCATTCCTAACAGCGGGCCACAGCGGGGCTACACTCAGCCGCCCCGCCCTTCCAGGCCTCACAGCAATGGAGCTGGTTCATATGGTCTCAGCATCCGAGTCCAGGGTATAGACGGACATCCTTATGTCGTTCTCAATAACCAAGACAGGGGTCCTCAGCCCCATGCTGACCCTAACACTAATGGGCACGTTGACACGGAAGGCTCCTTTATTGAGAACTATCAGGAGTATGATTTTAGAGGAGGCAAAGAGGCTGGATCCAACAGCCCATTCATGGAGTACAGGACACAGAAGATGATGCATCCCCCCGGCCCTCAGAATGGGGTTACTGAATCGCAAGGAAAGAAACCTTCAACTCTCCTGAATTTCCAGAAGCACCCTGAGATTCTACAGCCCTACGATCCAGAGACCAACTCACTCAATTTTGAGGGTTTCCGCAGCCTTCCATCAAAGCCCCACACTGAGACAGGGAACCCTCTCCAGAATTCCTCCTCCAGATCTGCTGCACAACTCCCCTCTGCTGGCAGGTCGTCCAGCTTGGAGAGGAACAAAGACCCCGCACAGACGGAGAAAAGACAGGTTTCATCCCCGAGCACAAGGCCAGCTGAGCATGAAACGCCTCTTTCGAAGCCAAAGTCCCAGACTTTGCCTGCAGAACCACTGGCTCAGCATCAGAGCAGGCCACAGGTGGCTCGGCCACAGGTGGCTCAGCCCCAGTCCAAACCTTACCTGACCAGCCTAGGTCCCCCTCAGTTTAAACCGTCTTCTAAACCTCTTCCGGTGCCTGCAGCCCACTCTCAGCCTTTCACTGTGCCCAGTCCCTCGAGTGAGCAGAGCAAGACACCCTGCAGATCGCCCAGTTCTATGAGCAGCGCCAACTCCAGCCTTGAGCGCACCCGGCGTGAACCTGATGTCCTCCCCTTACGCCGGACCGACTCCAGCGGCCCAGTGCTTCAGTCTTCCACCCGCACTCGTCACGCTTCCTCACCCTCTGCCCCTAAAGATCAGAGGGATGAACAGATGGAGGCTCTTTATGCAGACACTATTAATCGCCACGAGAACCGCCGCTACATTCCCTTCCTCCCTGGTTCAGGCAGAGATATCGACACAGGGTCCATTCCTGGTGTCGATGAGCTGATTGAGAAATTTGACGGCAAAGATGGCAGCCATCAACGCAGAGGCCGGGCGGGGCGCAGGAACAGGATCAACCCAGAGGACAGGAAACGCTCACGCAGCGTGGACAGTGCCCTCGGCCTCAGAAATAGCTTCTCTGATGAGTTTAGTCACTTTCAAGGCACATCAAAGGAGCATGTCCTGAGGCCCTCCCAGCTGCGGCTGCAGAAGGCAGCCAGCGCCCAGGAGTCCAGGCCCACCGCAGTAAATGGTAAGGTGGAGGCTGTGGGTCCATCCACTGTCAGCAGCGCACCTGGCTCCCCCCAGAGCACCATCTCTAAACACACAGGCTCCATTCAGGCATACAAAAAGCCACAGAGCCGCTCCTCTTCGTTACCTTTTAAGAGCAAAGAGAATGAGCAAAAGGGCCTCTCAGATGCAAAGGTTTCAGCAACATCGACATCTCTGTCCAAGAAATCTTCCACAGCAGAGAAGAAGCCCAGTTCAGGAGCCGATGTTCAGGTAAAAAAAAACCCAAACAAATAATGTAGATTTAAACTTATCGCGCTGTTTTATTTCTGCATATTTAGCCTTTGATGGTGGCTCCTTCGATTTGAAGAATAATTTGTGAAAGTAGCCCCTTTTCAACCCTCACATTCTTTATTTCATCATACACAGGCGACACCTGATCTCCTGAAAGGTCAGCAGGAACTTTCACAGCAAACACATGAAGAGACGGCGAAGCAAATTTTGTTCAGTTACCTTAAAGATGGGTAAGTTTTGTTAGACATTTTTTGCCAAGTTTTATTTGTTTATTTCTACGAAAAATGTGATCAGACGATAAAATGTTGGGGTCGGTGAGGCATTGGTTCATAGTGCTTCATGCAAAAAAAAAGGCTTCTCTGTGGAAGCACATATGTATTTATTTACTTATAAGAAGAGGAAAAGAAGAGGAATGTGGTTCTCTTCCACTCCCATCCAGGCTGTGAGTGAGCCAGTTGTCTGGAATTTGTTGTCTCACAGAATCCACCTTTCTTATTCTGCTTTCTTTGTGAAACAGATAATCGAATGAAAAACATTCTTCTTATTTGTGTAATGGGACACCTGTGGAATGTCAAAGAAAAGCATGATAGGTTAAAAGGTGAAATTCATATTTTAAAGCTGCTATGTGGAAGAACATTTCCTTTTTAAAATTCAAGCAACTGTTACTAATAAAGTTGAAACATTTTACTGTTTAAGTTTTTTTTTTCTAGACCTATTACTGTGAACAAAACAGTTTTGCTGGCAGAATTACAATTGGCCAGTCATACTTCTAATCAGTTTCCAGCAGAAACTTTTCAGTGTGTCATAAGGGAACAAGTATATATAAGAATAGCTAAACCAAAGTTGCCTTCGACATGGTTGCCCTTATCACAGTTCCTGTGCTAAATAAACAGGAAAAAGGTTGCCTAACGGTTTTTAACACACTTAAGAACCTTTCCTCTCCACCTTCCTTTTTGAGACACACTCAGCAGGCAGCAGAGAGACACAGGTGACGTGAAATATTTATTTCCAGGAATATACGTGTCTGCTTCTATTTGCACCAATCAAATCTGAGCAAGCAAAAAGTCAGTAAGAGCTCCTTATCAGTAAACGTGGACATGTGTTTCTTGCGACCTGATGTCCTCTCTGAACTCATACGAGGCTCACACATACGAGAAGACTGATAAATCACCTTTGATGTATCCAAGAAAGGGGTTGTGGACTGTCTTCTGCAACAGCTCCATTCTTTGTTCGTGATTTTAAACTGAAAAACGGTGTGTAGGCTGCTGCAACTGTTGCATGGGTTACTGGATTTGGCTGTTTTTGGCGAGCAGGAAACTGCCTGGGTGTGTCGGGCCACAGGTCAGGAGTCACAGGACAAAGGAAAGGAAACACAGATGGAAGTGCAGGGGCTGAAACCGAGCTTTATTCCCAAGACTCTGAAGACAAACATTCACCAACAGGAGTTATAAAGCTTTAATGAGAATCATCTGTGTGAGGAGGGTTGGGAGGAGGTCGGGGGAGTATGGCTCTGTGTCAGCCACAAGACTTTGAGATAAAATATGGCTGTCGTCCTGTAAAAGTGGTGTAACTCTGGTTTTGTTAATTCTGGTGTTTTCACTGTAGCTGATAGAATAGGTGTCCTCCCTTTTCTGGGCGTTTAGGCTTTTACAAACTCCAGAGTGGACATAGTTTGCACCCAAAATATCAAGCAGCTTTTCTTTCTGGGGTTTAAGCATAAAGTTCTGAGAAGCTGTTTGAAATGTGTAGATATGGCTTTTTCTGACTAATGTAAAATCTTTTAGTTTGAAAAATGGAGTAAAACAACACCCTGGCTGATATAAATGCATTAGTTTGGCTATTATCAATTTATTAAGGTGATAAAATAAAACTGCAAGTGTATTTGCAGTGTGCGCGCTAAACATATCACACTGCTTTTTAAATGGCTCACACTCCACTGGACGTGTGTGATGAAGCTGTTCCTGCACTGAGGTGACACATCAAAGAACTCTGATCCTTGCTGATGCCTTCTAAGCCAGGATTGAACTGCTCTGTTCCCAGAACAGTCTGGATTAATGCTTGATTCCCCAAAACACAGGCAAAAAGTTTTCCTGAACCCATAATAACCAGTAACAGTTTGTGCGTTTGTTTGCGTCTGCAGAAGCAACGATAATGACGAAACCACAAAGAAAAAGGTCAACCTCGTCTTTGAAAAGATACAGACGCTGAAGTCTCGTGCCACGGCCAGCACACAGGGCGACAACAAAGTTAGTTTTTCTGGAGTCGTTATAATGTATTTTTATGTCTGATATGCCATTTTAATGTGTAAAGGAAATCTATAGATTAAGCTTTTCTCCACCAATTGAGAGATAGATGGATTAAGGTTGGCCCTCTACATTTAATGTAATTGGGAACATATTCAGCTGTGCGAACTCTTTGCTAACACCGCTTACTGCAAATTCAATCCAGATATATATTTTTATGTATAATGGATCTCTTAAAATTGTCAATTTTCAGTCGCTGGACCTTGCTGCACAAACCAAAGCTCTACAGGAGCAAAATGCTGATCTGGAGAAGGACATAGTGGAGCTGAAGAAACAGCTGGATGAACAAATAATGGTAATATGTTTATGTATGAGAGTGTCTCTTAATCAAAAAGATAAAAAATGCTATCAATGAAAAACAGCTTAAAGGATTACTGTTCTTTAAATATTTTAAGACTGGCATTTGCATGTAAAATTGGCAACGCTTAATACAAAAGTGCAATTGAAAGGGTTGTTTGGCATGTGCTAGAAGTTAAACTCTGAATAAGGCAGGAAGTAATTTACTTCAAGGAGAAATTGTTGTGAGCTATGTGCAACTTATATTCTGCTTTCACGTGGAAAATGCTCCTTTTTGGTTGCAACAGCCATACCTCTTACCTCTGTTGTTGTCATGATCTCCTGTAACAGTTTCAAAGTTTTTATAGGACAAAAACTATGTTGTTTCAACCCAAATGGCTTGCTCCATAAACTGTAAAACAAACCAGAATGCCTTTTATGTTTGCCATCAGGAGAGTCATGCTGACTCAAAGAAATCAGCTGGCTTGAAGGATCTGCAGCAGGATCTGCAGCGGAGCATGGAGGAGTGCAAGCGTCTGAAGGAAAAACTGGCCAGAACAGAGGCTGACCTCAAGAACGCAGTGGAAGAGTAAGGGCAGAGTCACGGTGCTGCACAAGTCAATAATGATTAATCAGCTAGTTTAGTGTTTGTGACTGTTTTATATGTACCAGTATTTTATTTCTGTTAAACTTTGGTATAAATGGGTAAGAGGAGAGGCAAAACCCCCTGATCCTTTTACTCTACCTCCACTCTAAATGAGTTGGTTGCATGCACCAGCGAACCCAGCGGGGAGCCTGTGTGTTGATAAATGGGAAAAGTAGGTGATTCGGCTAAACCATCCCTACAGTGTATCCAGAGTATGATTTAAGAACTTGTGTGTGCAGTTTGTGAATGAAGCAGCTCGTGTTGCTGATAGGTTCTGTAGTTTTACCATGTTGCCTTCTATTACTTCTGTTTTGGTACATTTTGATCTTTCAACCTCTTATTGTTTGTCATTGGGAAATCACTAACTTTGCAGCTTTTATTCACCCATTATCTATTCTGTTCATTTCAAGTAGGGTTGTCAAGGGACAGGAGCCTATTCAAAGTCTTTACTGCCTCCTTTGCCTTGTTATTCTCAATATGATCCAATAGTTTAGATTGATTTCAGTCTGATATTCTCATCCTTTCAGTGGCGTGTCTTCCTATTTGTTTGGAGCTTTGCTCCAGATGGGAGTGAGTGGAAAACTGCCTCAAATCAAATATATTTATGACTGACTGCAAGGGCTCTTGTTTAGAACAGAATCATGCACAGTGCTGGTATTTCTTTGCAATGCATTCAAACTATTCTGCCAACTCTAAAATCACTTCTTACAGAAGGATTAGTTTCTCTGCTGAGTCTACACCAATATGGAATTATTTGTTTTGTGTTGTCTCCATGACTTAACGGAGCCCCTTTTGGTGTATTGGTTTTCTATATAGAGACAGGTCAGGCATGGTTGGTTTTCCATCGTTATAGTATTTAATTTAACCCCTGTGCTCTGTAGGCCTCATATTCAGTTTCAGCACAGGTACTCCCATTTATATGTATGAATGAAGGTTCAGGTGCATATGCGACTAAACACTGTATGAAGAGGATCCCTGATGTGTTGTGTCATGCTATGTGCTTTGTCAGGCTTTTTCAGGTGAAGATGGAGAGGGAGCAGCATCAGACTGAGATCAGAGACCTACAAGATCAGCTGTCAGAGATGCACGATGAGCTCGACTCAGCGAAGAAGTCAGCCGGCGATGCAGAAAAAGACATGATTATGACGGTCAGACAAAGTTTCCATTTTTGTGTGGGAGGGAAATAATACTATAGCCTATAAAGGTTGTGGCTGTTGGCAACCACACACCAAAGTGCTGTTTCAGCTGGCAGTTTAAGCTTAACTTACGAGCCTGTTAAGGATTTGATGAATCCCACATATTGCAGCCAAAATAGCCTCATTAATGCAAGTATTTCCTGTTTTTGTTTTGCTTTAGTTCTGCCTTCCCAAACGTTACAAAGGACACTGTCTGGATAACCAAAAACAGCACAAACTCAGTTCTAGTGTATTTCTGACACTGGTTAACTAAGACGATGTTAGCAAACTCTCAATTTTCCACAGGACATGATGCAACTGAAGGCAGAGATGCAGGAACTTCTCTTTGCTAAAGAAGATCAGGAAGAGATGCTGAGGAGGCGTGAAAGGGAGCTAACAGCTTTGAAGGGAGCACTGAAGGAAGAAGTGGCCGCTCATGACCAGGAGGTGGATAAGATGAAGGAGCAGTATGAGAAGGAAATGAGCAGACTGCAATCATTGCTGGAAGAGGCCAAGCAGGTAACCAGTCTGCCTTTGGATTAGCCTCCTTCTCACTCTCCTTTTTGACTCCCTGCATTCCCTCCTCCACATTTCCTCTGTGGCCACCCTCCCCCAATCCGGGAATACACTCTGTCACAGAAGTGTGTAGATAAGCACATCGTCAGGGGAATTGTAATTGTGTGTCTCTCATCAGAGGTTGGCGTCCTGCTTTGGAGTGACAGTATTACCACCTTCTCTCTAGTTTCAAAGCTTTGGCACCAAGTAGCAAAATACTGGGCACTGATTCTACAATGGGCAGGATACACTGTAACCAGAGTGAGCTTGGTCTTTTATATTAGTGTGACAGTGATTTTCAGGAGAAGCAGGAGGAAAAGAGCCCTCATGTTTTCTTGTTGACTTTTATAATAGCATTTTTCAGAGTTTTTTTTTTTAAGTTGCTTACTTTGATTAAACTATTAATTCCAGTTAATACAATCATAGCTTTTATAAATTCATAAGCTTAAGGATTTGGCTCTCCTTTGCATTCTTGCAAAGGAATTTAACAGAGAAAGTGCTTAAACATTTTGGTTTGAAATTACGAGATTGAACTGTCCAGCCAATGTAGTTCACACATTGTGGGGCTGCAAGAAACCCCTTTAAAATGAAGTGTAAGTTGAGCTTTGGGCACTTCAGCTTCGTCAGCAGTACAAACAATAGAAGTGAAACAGTTTGGAAGAACTTTTGATCTTTTTTTTTGTTTTTTTTCATGGGAAATCTTTTTTAGCCGGTTTGATGTCGTAGTGTTTTCTTTTGTGGGCTTGTTTCTCTGTGTCAGTTTTACAGGAAGAGATGTGCTTGATATCAAAGTGTGGCCCCATTAATGGTATTATGAAACTTGCTTTGCTCACAGGGACACGATTGTAGCCGGTTATCATTGTTGTTACAGTGGCAGAAGGCCTCATGTCTGGAATCAGCACGCCAGAACCGAATAATCCGGAGTTGGTAGCTGTTTTGTTATTTAAAAAGAAACAAGGAAACTGATTGAAGATGGGCTGAGCAGCGTCACTTGGCAGGAGATGGTTAAAACACCGTAGACACATTGTTGTCAGAAGGTCGCTGTGTGACTCACGTGCGTCCTGTTTGTTTCAAAGAGTGGAAGTCGTCCTTGTTCTCGGCTTCCGGCAGACCTGTTGGGGGTCCACAGCAACGCTTTGCATCAGAGGTCTATGAGGACATATCCTTTTGTTAAACAGAGCCATTGCTCCCCAGAGAGAGTATGTCATCGGGGGTTTTCTCTCAGTGCTTTGTCAACACCTGGCAAGATAAAGTCATTGTTTGTTTTTCATTTAAGGTATTAAGAGTTCTCACTCACTGGAGCCTCTCGTCTGTCCTTGAAGTCGGCTTTGTTCTAAAGACTCATTATAGCTCAGAGTGAGGTTACCTTTTCATAACCGCGCAAAAACAGGCAATAAAATTAGGCTTTTCTATGTTTTTTCTAGACATTATCGGACTAATGGGTATTGTTTGTAAGACCAGATACTTGGCAAAATGGAAACCTTATCATCACATGCTCATTTCTATTAGTTTCCGACAGGAAAAAAATAAATCACAGCCAAAGTGCTTCCTTCCAATCACAAATGTATTTTTCTCTTCTTTGCTGACCAGACCTGGGAAGTAGGGCCACGAGAATGCTGGAAAGTGGAGCACTGCTTTGCTGCGTATACCAGTTAATTGCAGTGGCAACAACTAATCTAATGAGCTGCCGTTCCCAAGTCGCATCGTGTCTCCCCTCCATGCCCTGAAAAAGTGGGGGTAATTGTGGACCTCAGTCAATAATGAATGATGAGTTTGTTTCACACAATAATAGCAGCGGGGGTTGGGACACTGAATAAGTGGGTCAGTATGCTGTAGGAAAGGGGGTGCAAAGCTGACCCCCATGAAAAGAGCTCGGGACCTGTTTTGTGTCTTAACCCTGAAAGCTGCATTGTGTTTTTGATGAGCAGAAATCTGTGGAATTTTATCTAGGTTTAAAATCTCAGTCACACTGTTAAGACTTGGCTTTTTTAAATGTACGTCAATCAAATAATGTTCTGTAACAGAAGACATCTGCTCATTTTGGGCTGAATTTGACATTTTGCGCCTGTGCGCGCAAGTATGTGAAAAATGTGCAAAGATGAGGTGCTGTTAGACGAGAGGTATCCTTTACAGGAATGTCAGGGTCAGAGTGGAGAATGTGCACCCTCTTTCTCAACTCCAGCTTTAGCTTTGTTACAGTGCACCCGCTTTCAACAGCGGGAGAGGCTCAAATATTTTCATTTTTTTTCTCTTCAGGGTGCATCCCAATCTCTACAGTGTGCCAGATCTCAGCATTGGAGGCTTTAATAGGTCTCAGCTCCTCCTAACTGTAAAGACAGAGCCTTGTGCTTATCACAATACTTCCAGCTCTTGTTGTGTTTCACTTGCAGACCTAAGCCACAGTGTGGAACACTGATACATTGTTATCACGCTCTCATCTGTAACCTCAATTTGAAATGCTGTATTTTTTTTCATTTCCTGGCTCCACAGTTTCCACACAAGACTCCACAGTGATCCTCCGTTCACCTAAATGCAGTTCAGTCTCTGGCCTTAACCATTCTCGCTTCAGTGGCAGCCTGCTTCTCCACTAATCTCTGCCAGTGTGTGAACCATCGTCTCACTGTCTGATCATCAAAACTTTGTAGCCAGGAGTAGAGTTCCCCCTCAGGCTTCTTTGGAAAGTAAAGACTCCAGCATGAGTCTGTGTATTTGATGATAGCACTTTATTTCCAAGCACAGCTTCTGGAGCTGATTTAACAGGCCAGGAGGAGGAGAATTTAGATGGACAGAAAGTGAGAGAGGAAATTATGATTTATAGACAGACTTATATAGTAGCTTATCTTTGAAATATCACTTCCTTCAAACCTTCAAATAACTGATAATTTTTTTAGACACTCCTGTGAAACAGAAACTGACAGAATTTTTTTGTCTGGAGGTGTTCACTTATGAAGTGTTGTCGTGAGTCCGGTTTTTGTGAGACAAGGCATTGGCTTTGTCTTTTCTGAATGGCTCAATTTCTGGGACGCCTAAATTGTCAAAACAGTTTGCAGGTGTGGAGTTGAAGACAAATCTCCTGTGAAGATGAACAAGACGGTTTAGGGACAAGGGACTAAAATCCAAAAATGTGTCTGGGTCAGAGTTAAAAGGTAAAGTCGTAAAGGTAGCCTGTAGGGTTTTCGTGTCATGAGATCAACAGTGCATGTTAAGAATGTTTTGGACATTTTTGCCACATATTTGACTCCATTCCAGTTGTCTTCTTCTTGACATGAATTTAATGGTGAGGTGGTGTGTGGGCTGTGATCTGTTGGAGTTGTTAATCTTCGGATTTGAGCTGTGGTGTGGGATGTGTGTTTTGCGTATTTCTTCTCTGCCACGGGTCTTCACTCACTTAACTCCTCTGGCCCTTGGCCCAGAAACTCGAACATGGAGTTTTATCTTCTCTTTGTGCTTTGACCAGGATTTTGGTGCTGGAGTTAACGGACTTTGAGGCTTGAAAGTCAGTCTGCGCAACCCTGAGTTAACATTCTTCGTTATGATGAATGCGCTTTTTATTGTCGCTGCAGGCTCAATGAAGTTAGTTGGAACAGCCTCTCAGATGCAAAATGTATCAACAGTAATACACGAAATGTTTTAAAAAAATACTCCCACAAAAGTAAGCCAAGATATAGGTTTTTGAAAAAATGGTAACTTACAAATTATTAAAAGTAGACAAAACTATACATTATTTTTAGCTATTGATCAAAAAAGATCATGAAGGCAATTAAAAGTGATGGTTTTTGGGTTGGGGGGTGGTGGATACACAAAGAGTCTTTGATAGTTGAGCCTGGTGTAATAGGAAGTCTGGGGAAGAAAAAGTTATCTTAGAAAATAGTTTTCCTGAATGTCATCAGTCTCGAGTATAGATTCCATTACACCCTTGCAAATGTTCAATTTGGCGGAGACTAAAGCCCGGTGTCTTTTTTCCCTTTCATTTAGGACAAGACAGGATAGATTACTCTTTTGACAAAAAAAAGATGCCAGAACTTCTCAGCTGTCGCATCCTAATTTCGGCTTCTGTGCTTCTTTTCAGACCATGACAGGTCTCAGTTTGTGGGTCATTTCAAGTCTGGAAACCATATTTTGTCTTTTAAATTGAAGGTATATTAGGTTGTGCACATTTTTGCAGATTTTTCTTTTCTTCCATTTTTCTTTTCCTGACTTCATGTTTAGTTCAAATTCAAGAAGACAAACTAAAATTTTCTTCCAAATGGCACGCAGTGTGGAAAAGTTAAGAATTTGAACTGATCTCTCTGGTGCTCAGACCTGTGTTTAGACGTGGTTACACATAGCTGTTGTTTAAGATGGAATCTCTCATACTTCACAGTTGCAGGCTGACAGGTGGCAGGTTTCATGCAGTCACGTGAGATCTCAGTTCTTTTGTTTGCCTTCAAAAAAGACTTGAGCACAGCACACGACCTGAAAGGTGCACTTTCTGCCTTTCTTCAAAGACAACACAAAGTTGGTTAATATGCAACTTTGAATAAACACTTTGAGCAAACATGAGGATCCAAGTCAAACTTTGAGTTTAAAGTTTGTGGGGTGGAGGATTGGTGGTAGATGTTCTTTAATGACACTGTACAAATACTCTGGAATCAGTTTGTGTTGTTACTTTTTGTGTTTATATTATATAGGTGACAAGGTGTTAAACATAAAAATGATTAAACAAATTATTGTTTATTATGAAAATGAATTGAAGAAAAATGCACCTTTTGTATTTGCCTTTCACAAAAGCTGGATTCTCCTTTGGCCAACAAAATGTGATCAAAGAATCAAATCATTGGTCAGCTCTGGGAAAATCAGATGAACATAAATGAATGTTCCAACGTCAAAGTTATAAAGAAAAAGAAGGTCACCTCACTGCATGTACGTCCTATCCTGTTTCCTTTCGTAGTCGACAGCATTTTTCCTCTCTTTTTTGGTTGGGAGGCTTTGTTCATAGTTTTAACGTAAGCAAGCCAATGTGGGAAGTGGGACAGGCAGAGTGATATTAAGGCTGGACTTTGTGCATTCTGCTGTTAAAATGCAGCACATACACAATCCTGAAAAGCGCTACCATTGCTTTATTCTTTCAGTATAAGCTGTGCAAAGCCTCACATTCTGCGAAACCTGTCTTCATGCTTTTTCAGCTACATCATTTTTGCAACCAATTTAGCATTTTCTTCACAATTTGTTTTATTTATTATACCTCCTTAAAAAGTCCCAAAAGAGCAAGACTTGACACAGACGTTGAAGGTTCCTGGAATAAATCCTGCTTGGCAGTATTCCATTTGCTCATATATACCGTACACACATATATATATATATATATATATATATATATATATATATATATATACACACACACACAGAGGAAACCGTTTTAACGCAGATCTACACATGAACTTATCTGGCTCAAACAGTAGTTCAATCAATAAGTTAATCAATAAGTAGTAGTTAAATATTGGCACAGTCATTTGCCAATTTAAACATATGCTGTTCCAATCTTAATTTATAGTCTAAGATGGGATGATTTTGTACAAAGGCTCATTTTACGTGCCTGGTGTTTGTTTCCTAACATGAATCATGAGTGATATAAGAATGAGACATAGTGTTTTCTCTGGAATTGGCAGTATTGAGTTCTCTTAACCAAAACTAAATGACCCAGGTTGTAGATGATGAGGGCGACTGTGGTGACAGTGGAAACAGGTCTGACTGGCCTGCTGGCACTGAGGTAGGGAGGCACCCATCATTTCCCTTATGTAAGAGGCCCCTCTTGTATGTATTCAACACGATGAGCCGAACTGTAACCTGCCTGTCACCAAAAGGGGTTGATGAGTCAGGTATTCAAATATGTAGATATTTTAAAATAATAAACAAATCATGATTTATGTTTCCTTTAAGTTCATGCCTGTAGTTTTACCTGATAAATCCGTATACAAGGAACAAATCCGGAAAATATCTGTAGGAAGGATTTTTGTAGCTCAGCAGTAAGTCACAGTTGGTGAGTAGCAAACCAGTTTTAGGCGACGCTGTTTGTTTGGATACATTTTTCGGTGCCACTTTTAAACAGTATGTCACCAGGTGGATTAGAAGTCTGTAAACCGGCTCGTGAGAGCAGGAGGGTGTGTGTGTGCTTTCATGCCCTTGTGCACTCACTCGCATGCAGTGACGTACGTTGGTATTTGCAGTGTGTCCTATTCTTCAGGAATAACATGCCAGTGTACGAGACGACGTGAAGCACCAGTAACTCGGCGACACATTTTTATGCATTTCGTGAATGAATTGTTTGACTGTTTTTGTTGTGAAGCAACAGCGCAGTCCATAGTAGCTCCGGTATGTTCTGTATCTACAGGTGTGAAGAAGTCAGCTGCCGCTGAGATAAACAGGGCTGTCAAACCAGTTACTGAACATTCCACCTGATGTCAGATGAAGTCCTGTTTCCAAACAAACCCTTATGTATCCATTGCTTACTGATAGGTTGATTAGATGGAAGGAGGTTACTCTTGCCGAGTACTCTATTCTGGCATGAGTTGAAGCACACATAATCATCATAAGCTGTACTGTGGGAAAAGCCCACTGTCCTTCTGCTCTTTCCCTGGCTCTAATGCACGCTTACAACACCTTTAGGTGGTATGTAAGTGTTTTGGGATTGGATGAAGTCACAGTCCCTACTTAGGCTGCTGTGCCTCAGCCACTAGACTTTTAATGGCCTTCAATCAGCAGACTTTGATAAAAGCTCAGATTTAGTTTCCGTCAATTGTGCCTTATTATGAAGTGTGAGAGAATTACATGCAGGCATTGTAATCCTGTCTCCACGGCAACAAAAGAAACCTACCACTACAAATACCTTTTGTTACATGAGGCATTTGAGAAGTTCCTTCATGCATCATTGTTCAACTTTATGTTGAGTGTCACAGGCTCCTGAACTAAAGCTGCGTGCCTTGTTCTGATCCACAGAGCAGCGCAGCAGTGGTCCAAGAGAAAGCTGAAGTAGAGGCAGCCAAGGGTGCAGCGGAAGGCCAAGCAGGGCGGCTGACCCAAGAAGCCGAGCGACTGCACAGGCGGGCGCAAGAGCTGGAGAATGAGGTGGCCAAGCTCAACCGAATCATCGATGAGGCCAAGCTTCAGGAGAGCAGGCTGGGGGACAAAGCCAGCCGGCTGGAGGTGAGGGCTCAGGATCAGTGCAGAGGAAACCCGCTGCAGAACTGCCACTTATTTCTTTACTGGTTTTCTTTTTGCTTTACTACTTTGTTAAAGTCCTGTTATGCTCTGAAATGTCTACTTAACAGCGAGATAAAAAGCAGTTGGAGGAGTCTTTGGCTGAAATTAAGGAGGAAGAAGAAGAGATGGCCCGTGCTAACAGGGCGTTGACCCTCCGGCTGGAGGATGTGCAGGTAAAATTGGCAGCTGCACTCCACACAACATGAAAACAGACCCACGGCTCTTTACATTTTTATACTCTAATTGAATCCTTCTTTAGAGGAATTTGGCCAAACTGAGCAATGAACATAAAGAGCTGGAGCTGACCTTACAAGAAGAGAAGACTCAGAAAGAGCAGTTCAAGAACATGAAAAACAACATAGAGGACGAAAGGAGGTTGCTGGACCGTACTGTGGAGAAACTTCAGAGGGAGGTGAGTGTGCTTGAGTTTTAAGAATTATAACATAATGGAACAGGACAAGGAAAAGAGCTTAACTCACATGGTCAGTGACGTTTGGAGCTCTAACATTCCTCTAAGTCAAATTGAGTTGGAAGCAAATTGTCTTGATTTTACTGTTGCTTTTGAGAGCATCAGAACTAACTGGGTTTGACTAATGATGCATTACGTTTACAGATTATTAGCATAAATCTCTCTTTATTTACTGTAAAATCAAACCCTCCCCCTTACACCCCCTATCATCACACTTTTCTGTTTTTTCCTGACGTTTCTCATCGTCTTTGCCCCCTCTTGCTATGCCACTGTGACCACAGATGAACGATATTGTGGAGGCGTCTCAGTCGTCCACTCAGGAGCTGCAGGAGCAGATTGACATTTACAAGGAGAAGAACCGGCGAGAGCTGACTGAGCTGCAGCGGCTTCTAAAGGAACGAGGGCAGGAGCTGGACAAATGCCTGCAGGCCACCAAAGCTCTGCAGGGCGAGGTAGAGTGGATGATATCAAACTCATCTAACAGAATGGGCGTTAACAGATGAGACCCTGTCTCTAATGCTGACGCTGCTTTCATGGTGAGGTTGTCAGATCATGGTCATCATTAGTCAAACCAATTAAGCTCGCCCACGCAAGGGGGGGTTTGTTCTGAGTTAAACAGCTGGACCCTCCCTCAAGCATCACCATCTCCTATCAGAGGGTGATGTCATCATTCAGTCATCTCTGCTCCCTGCTAGCCAAAACATGAAGGGAGGGCTAACAGCCAGGATGCACATATGACTGTTAAATATATTATTATTGAACCTATAAAGTTGAGAGAAACATAGAGCCTTCCTTTCTATTTCTTAATGTGTGGCTATATCACCATAGTATGGAAACGTGACCTCTTTTCATTATTTTCAGGCGGGGGTTCATCAGGACTTTGGAATGTGGGGAATGTTTTTGTTGAAAGTAGGAAGAGATGAAATGTGGTTATTTATGTTAGAATGAAGGAGGCATGTATAGATTTATTTATACAGCAAACATTTACTGAAGGAGGTCAGGGAACTGAGATAATCTTTATGGTGACCACACAGAAATGCTTTTATAGCCTAAGTGTAACCAGAAAAGCTGCAGGGTTGTATGAGATGTAATGTTCCACAGACTTGACATCAAAGCAGTTGTGCGTTTCGTGGTGCTCCACCGAACTCTTGTTCTCAATCTGTAAAGATCTAATGGATTATTGCTTCAGTGGCTGCTTTTATGTACATATTCCTTAGAAAAATATTGTGTTTGAATATCATTGTTTAGGATTTGGAACAACCTTTGAGTAATCGAGACATCAAAACAAGGAAAACGTAATGATCACTTGTATCATTAGTGTCATCTAATTCAGATAAATGTCTCAATATGTTAGTTTTACTGGGTTTTACCACAGAGAATATAAAAGTGGTTGTAAAAGAAAATGACCATCTGAAAAAGAATAGAAAGCATTGAGTGATCTACAAAAGGTTGTAAACTTAGACACACTCAGATCAGCTTTCTCCATGAGGAAAGCAGCAGTAAATAACTTTAATCAGTCTTTTCCCTTATTTTCAGCTTTAAATATATTTTTTTAACAGAAGGGGAAAAAATGTAATTACTTTGTTGTTTCAAGTAGAATGGTTCTCTCCAAACTCTCCTCAGTTTGAGGTATTTTGATACATGCAGGACTGTCAACTGTTCTCTGGTTAACCTTTCTGGGCTGATGGATCTGCTCAGGTCATGTGATGAGTAAAACTCCAGGTCAGGCCCAGGTCAGAGTCCAGCTTCTTCCTCTTCTTTTTACCCCTGTCTGCATCCCTGCTGCTGTATCTTTTTCCAGCTGCTGTACAGGAAGAGGAGGATGTCAGAGCTGTGGTATCACTGTTGTGAAAGCTGTGCTAGCTGAATCACATCCTCCTTGTCCATTACCTCTCCTGGGAAACTTAGGTCCTGTGAATCTTCTTGTGATACTGCTACTAAATGTCCTGTCAGCATCCACCCTTCCGAACTTGGGCCATCTTCACTAAAGTTACCACGCAAATCTCATCTCTCTCCTTCAAAAGATTGTCTGGATTGAAGGCCTCATTATGAATGCGATAGTCCATTTTCAGCCTCGTTCCTTTATTGATTAATTGCTCCAACAATGTAAAACCTTGCAGAGGGATTAATACGTACCCTCTTCCACCTTTTATTGAGCCACAGCTCACATGACAAAATGTCTTTTTCAAATAATACAACAAAAAAGAAACGCATAGCAAACCAGAAACAAAGATTAAGCATGTGCCTTTCATGAGAAATGAAGGAAGTTGATGGATTTCCATTGTCTTGGCATTAAGCAGTGGGAGCAGCTGCTTGGGGTAGTGCCTCTGAGGAGAGAATGCTGGCTGTGCTGTATTTATAAGCCACTCAGGGGAACCACCCGATAATTTTCCTGAGCATCTAGTTTGTCCCCTCAGTAGAAATACTTGATGAAAGTCAAGAAGACAAATGGAACCACGTCAGCGACATTTCCGAATTAAGCCTTTTGGGTTAATTGCCTCTTTCACCACAGAGATAAAGAAGTAAACTACAGCAGTATCTATGTCCAGGGAGCAGGAAAATGTTAAGAAACAGATATAGGTTGAATATGTGGGTGGAACAAAACACATGCAAGTGAAAAGCAAGTACAATTAAGCCCTATCTTTGTTTTAGTTGTCCCTTAGGGAGGCGGACCTGCGGCAGTGTCAGAGGGAGCGAGACCAGGCTGTTGACAATGAGCAGATGCTGGAGAAGAAGGTTCAAGATCTGGAGATGGAGACTGAGAAAAATGCCAACGCTAAGGAAGAGAAAGCACGGCACCTCAAACTCATGGAGGTATGTAATGAGTTCCAGTAGAGCCAAATAATCTCTTTGTTGTTACTAAACTGAATCATGTTATAGTTGCCAAAGACCTGTACATTTTAAGAAGTTGAAAAACTTTGCTAGACCTCGCATGCATGTAGCAAACCCAAATATCAGCAGAGAATAGTTTTCTTGCTATGAACTCCTTGCACAGATCAAACTTCCTCATTTTGCAGGCCAGGCTCAGTCAGCTGCAGCTGGACCTGGATGAAGAGCGTCAGAGTGGAGATCAGCTGATGAACAGGATAGACCGAGGCAGAGAGCAGGTACACACACACATACACAGACACACACACGCTCAACACATTCTCATTATCAGCGCTCAGCCGTCTCACTGACCTGTTGTCCATCTTTGCACAGTCGTGTCTCTGTTCCATCTCAGTCAGTAAACGATATCTAAATCTCCTGTTGCTTTGTCTTTCACCTCTAACATCATGACTGCAGCCATTAATCCCTTAACTAGATAAACTTCCATGTAACAACTTCAGGCCTCAGACCTGAAAGAGTTCATGCATGTAACTCTTCTGCTCGTGTGTCCGCTCTCAGCTGTCTGTGTCCTCTCACACGCTGCCCACACTTTCGGATTCACGTTTTTCCTTTGAGGTTTGGATGAAGTGTACAGGTTTATTGCTTTGTAAGATGATCTTGCATAATCATTCAGGTTGGTGGCTTTCCAGCAGGGTCTCAGTGTGTCTATCCAATTTTCATGCATTAGTCACAAAAAGACCCCTCTTAATGCACTGCCAGAGCCAAAGTGTGCACGCTGCCAAATGTCTCAAGTTTTCAGGTTGGAAATTGCAGTCAGAAACTTCGGCTGGAGAAGAAACAAGTTTTTTTTCCCCAAATGCTCTAGTTTTCCTTTATTTGTGATAAAGCTGCTGGCAGAGGAGTTGTGGAACCAGATTTAGACAGAGTGCCTGTGCTTTAAGGACTGTTTGTTTATGGGAAAAATCTTTCTAATCTTCGGATGGGTGTTGGCTCTGGTGTTTTATAGCAGCCGTTGTGACTTTATGCTGTGTGTGATTTCTGGAGTTGTATGAGGATTTATTTAGCTAAGAACGGATGACTGTGAGGTCCACAGACAGACCTTTGAGATCCCGCTCTTGCCATAAGTTTTCCTCAATGTGGAAGTGGCAGATTTAAATGTTTTTAAACATTTCAAATAAAGTATGTATCCTTATACTGGCAGAGTGAAGGATGCAGATCTTATTTTAATGGTTTCCATGAAAAAAAAAATCCTGGCACAGAGAGGAGCGTGGCATTGTGACAAAGTGGCATTGGAGCCGCATGAGGCTGAGGTCGGTTGTCAAGGCAACACCCGGGCTTTGTGTGGCCAGAGTGGAGTAAATTGAGTGCTGGGGATGTGTGTCTGTGAATGTGCATGTGCTCACATGGCTCGCGGGTGTGTGCTAGTGTGTGCTCTAATGTCTGTGGGGAGGAGGAGGGGGGGGTGCATGGCTATAGAGTGGTGGGGTTGCAGCCGAGGCAGCAGGAAGAACACCTGCGTCTCTCCTGGCACCAGGTGCTCCTCTCCTGTCTAAATGAGAGTAATCTCCCCTCTCCTCTCCTGCCGTCTCTCACAAAGCAGATTAGTTTCGCTGCATGTTCCAGTCTGCTGATTCAGCTCCCTCAAGCACTGCGCTGGCTGCACCAGTTATAGGGGCCATCGTTCATCAGAGCAGCCCACTGTCACCCACTAATTGGCATAAAATATCACCAATTCTAAGCTCCTTTCACAAAGAAAGAACCATCACTGCCGTATCGATTAGTTTTCATTCTCCACTCTTTTGAAGTGTGCTATCGTTGCGCAGTCGTGCTCCTCTGAGCTCATCTTATTGGAGTTGAGACGTGAGGCTACCGGTAATAAAGGAAAAACTGGATATTTGAGAAATAAAGTTTTGGGTTCTTGGCAAATTGGGTGGAATGAGATGTAATAGATATATCCTGCAAATAGGTGCAACCTTTGAGCACAAACACGCAACAAAAACTGCTCTTTTTGCTTTTCATTTTTCTGTCCATAAACTCTGTCCAGGGTGAGAAATGGGCTTTGGCTTTCAACGCGCAAATAAGGATGTTTTTCCTCTAAGGGCTAGATCTAAGAGCAATTTAGCTAAACTAAGTTTAAAAACAAACAAACAAATATAGAAAAACATTAAATACAGTTTTAAAACAGACAAGCTTTTTTACACAATAGAAATATCTACCTGAAATAAGCCACACTTTTTTACCTTTATGTTTACTGGACTTGGTGTAGAAAGGTGGACAAGCAACCGTGTTAGAAATACTTTTTTGAAATTATCATGATCTTCTGATAAAGATTCTGTTCAGATAACACACAGATAATGAAATTGAAACCATAAGATCATAATCTGGAGGTCAAAGAATTCCAGTCGGTGGTTTAGGTTATACTAAAGTGGCTGAAAAGGTGGTGGTCCACTGACACCAGGTGCAGGTGCAGCCCTGTCCCTGGTCTCCTGTTCAGTGTCTTTAGAGAACAAGATGTGCATCATAAACTCAACAGGCGTCTGGTGCTGATGCCTCTTACACAAACATTAACCTCCTGAAGTGAAGCAGTGCTGTTACAAGCAGATCCCACTTTAATTTATAGTTTGAAAGTTTTTAAACTGAGATTAAATACATTTAGTCTTAAAATGAGTGTTTTAAATGAGGTTTTCATTCTAAGACAATGTGGAGGTTTAATGCGCCATACTATATCTGATTTTAAAAACCTTTTTAACCCCTTTTAACCCTTTTCCTGGCAGCTAAACCTAATGTTCGCTGCCCTAATGTTCCTAATGGCCAAACCCACATATTCACGATAGACGTTTCTGTTTACTACAGTCTGTGTGACAGAGTTGGGATGTCAGTCGAAACAAGAGGTGGAATGTTGTCAAGGCAGAAAATCCAGCTCTCCAATTAACCAGATTCCTTCAGCATTTACTGCTCCATTGTTTTGCACTTTGACTCACCGACCGCTGCCGGGGTTTCTGTTGTGGGCGAGACTAACAGAGACTGTGGCTAATTGTTGTCGGACTGTGTGGCTGCAAAGCGATGACTGTCTGGGCTGGGCTCGACAGGTGGAGCAGATGAGGAATGAACTCCTGCAGGAGAGGGCTAGCAGACAGGACCTGGAGTGTGACAAGATTGCTCTGGAGAGACAGGTACACACTCACCTGTCAGGAGCACAACAGCTGCACCCAGTTCAAGTCACAGTCTCATTCCATTTGTTTTATCATCATTCTCATTTGATTGTATTCCTTCATCCATTCATTCATTCATCAGTTTCCTTGTTTGGTCTCTCTTAAAAAAAATAATATATATATATTATTTAGTTTTAAGTGAACATTTGTGAAGCTGCTCGTCACCTCCTAATCCACGCTCTCTCTAGAATAAAGATCTGAAGGCCAGAGTGGATCATTTGGAAGGCTCCCACAAGTCCAGTAAGGAGGGCCTGGTGACCCAGCTGGAGACTCGCGTACAGGAGCTGCAGGAGAAGCTGGAGGGGGAGGAAAGGTAACAAGGAGGCTCCAGTTAGGAGTGTGGGTGAGGGGAAGAGAGCAAGAGAGAAAAAGTGACAGTAATTGCTAAAAACAAAGTAAAAGAAAAGCTCTTTTGTGTTGGAGTGTAAAAAGTAAATCCAAGAATGAATTGAATGTGTGATGGTGAATGTGTTTCAGGGAGAAGGCAAACCTGCAGATGGCAAACCGCAGATTAGAGAGGAAGGTAAAAGAGATGATCATGCAAGCCGAAGAGGAACATCAGACAATCCAAGATCAAAAGGACCAAGTATGTTAAAACACTCTCATGGCCAGACTAACATTTTCCCTGTTCAGCAGAGAGTATGGATTAAACAATAGCCTGATGAGTCTGTCAGCCGTGTAGCACAAATGTTTGATCTTTGTTCAACCAGCTGGACTTGTTTTTATCCTCCTTCAGCTGAATCTGCGACTAAAGGCCCTGAAAAGGCAGATGGACGAGGCTGAGGAGGAGATAGATCGTCTGGAGCACGGCAAGAAGAAGCTGCAGCGGGACCTGGATGAGCAACAGGAGGCCAACGAGCAGCTCCAGAGTCAGCTCAAGGCTCTGCGCAGCGAGATCAGGTGAGCTGCGACGCCCAGAGCCATCGCTCACGTTCAGGAACAGGCAGAGCGATGCCTTGAAATCAAACGCAGCCCTTCTCATGCTCCCCGCTTCTGTTTTTAACCACCCGATTTCAGGCGTAAGAGCTCCTCCGCTCCGCTCCTCAACAGCCTGGATGACGACGACGACGACGATGACATCAGCACCGACGGGGAGACGTACTTCAGCTCTTCCTCAGGGTACAAGCGCTCCTCCAGTCAAGACAACATTCTGTCAACTCTCACTCTATAATCATACTCCAAAAATACAGCTTATTTCTAAACACCACCGTTGGATCAAATGCTGAAGAAAGGTGCGCTGCCTTTGTATTATACTAAATTTTGAGTGTACATAATGAGACTTTCCTGCACAGGCGAGGAGTTGTTTTTCATTCGTTTTTTTATTTTATTTGTTTTTTGTAAGCAGCGGTCATATTCTCCTGGATTTGAACTTGGAGCAGTCTTGATGTGAATAAAGTCACTCAGTATTATTTGAGCAGCTCTTTGATTACTGGATGAAATTGGAAAGGTTCTGATAAACCCTGTGCCCAAGAAATCGAGTGTATATTTTTCTTTAATTAGCTTGTTTTACATTCCTTCGTCAGGTTATTCTCTTCACCCTCATTAGTTTAAAGTATATATTTTTTACATAACGGAGATGCTTGTCGCTTGTTGTTATTATTTTAGGGGTAGTGAACTTGAAAACAAACATTTGCACTGTAAAGCAACAAAACCAGTACTTCTTTTGTCAACAATATGAGGTTAGTTTTTATGCCTATCAAATGTTACAGCTACATGTCCAGTGTCCAAATATATTCTTTTTGTACCGTCCAGTCACATAAACTATACTCACTTTTTACTTTTTTTTTTTTTTTTTTAATTGATGAATTAAAAACCTAAACCAAGTACACAAAGTGAATTTTGCTGGGAAAATTTTATTTATTTAGTTGAATTTGCAGCGTCTTGGCTAAATCAGATTTTTTTTTTAGGGAGCAGTGAATGAGGGACTTTGTACACATCTGTTTTTATACGCTTTTGTATCATTTGATGACCAGTTTTATAACATAACCTCAGTTTGTATATGACCAGTTCAAGCTTTTTTGTCACCCTCTCATTAATGATACAATACGGTCTAAGTGACGGTGCAGTATTGATAACGCGTCTTCTGGAAAAGTCAATGAGAAGTTTGTTGGTTTGGTTACATCACAGAATATAAACTGTAAATGTGAATCCCATTTCATCTCCACAGATATTTTTATACTGGAAACACTTTGATTTCCCCCTTATTTCTGGCTATTTGTCTTTCATCATGGGGTTGCGTTACTATGGGACATTGTTTCACTCTTACAGTTTAACTTCATACATGTGTGTTTAAATTGTCTGGCCTCACCGTGGCCTCTTAAAATTTCCTTTACCTTCATGAGGGAATTTCCTCAAATAAGATAAATTGACAATCAGTGATTTGCACTCTGTGTTGGCTCTGCACTGAAAGGTCTGATGCCTGTGGAGGGACACAGATTCCTGCCACTACCTCTTTGTACACAACTGTATGTTCATAAATCCTGCTGAAATGGAAAATAAAGTTGATTTCAGTTACTAAAGTGCTTTTTCCTCGTTTGTGCTTTTCCCACTCCCAAAACACACCTCATTTCCCATTGTCATTGTCCTTGATATCAGGCTTGTGTACAGAATAAAACATTATTTTGTTCATCTAACTTTTGTTCACAAAATTAAGTTGATATAAAAAACCTGTTAACTTGTTTTTTAAAATTTTATTGAGTACCAAGAAAAAAAGTTTACCTCCAATCTGATGTGTGCAAGGCTTTAACCAAACTGTCATATGATTACGGTCATTTTCAAATACTAATCTTGTTTATTGTCTTTCTGATGCATAAATAAAAAACACATTCACCAGGGCTGCTCCAGCTATTGCTGAGTGGTCCACTATTTTGCCTTGAAAAAGTCCTGAGTTGCTCCTGCGGTATGTTTTTAGTCATCATCCATCAGCATCATCCCGGTGAAGCCTCTTCCATTCAGCATCATAATGAATCCAGCCGCTTCAGCTTCCGTCTCCTCATCAATCAACACTGCTGACCCACTGGAAGCCACACATGTCTATACCACGGCACTGCCTTCATGTGTTTAACAGATGATGTTGTATATTTCATATAATGAGCTTTCAATGCCCTCCCCATACCTTTTGTGGTGATCTCTGTCCACAGACGACTTGAAATGAGGACTGATAAAGTTAATTGATGTTTGCATCTATATATGTATGATTATATTCTATTTCTACATTTTTTTCTTTGTTTCTTTTTCTGTCTCTGCCCTTGGATCACAAAATGACAACTTCACGCAGTCAGTTTTTGAGGTGATTATCTGTAAGGATCTTCAATCATCTACCACTGCAGACATTTTTAGAGATCCAGATTTTTTTTATTGTCCCGAGCTAGGGAGTGCGTGATATATTTTCCCTGATCAGGCTGCTAATGAAGAAACTACCTAAAGGATTGTTTTAAATGCTGCATTATAATAAACTGTCACAATTAAAGGGAGAGGATGGACACTCACGTTCACATATATACGTTGTCAACTTTCAATATACTGAAAAGCTCCAACTAAAACTTCTTTCAGGTAAACAATTTCCACTCTGAAATGAGATAATAAAAATACACGATACTGCTGTGTTCCTTCTGTGTATGTTACTGAATATTTGTGCTTTTTTGGTATGAGTTATCCAAATTTTATATAAAATAACTTGATAACAAATTGACAGCTTTGTATTTTTTACTCCGTAGGAAGGATTTTATATGATGAATGACTCAGGATTGAACATTTTTAACAAAACAGCTGTATATACTATAGTAGAATATTGAGTTTTACTTTTAGATTTTTGTATGTAAATAAGGAAATGTAAGAAAAAAAGATATACATGAAGGTGAGATTAGACAGGAGGGTAAATCTGCTCGAACATTCAGTGCTTTAGCATCCCCTCACCTCCATCTTTGACAGTAATGATTTGATCAGTCTGGTGTGTAATGATCCCCGCTGAGTTGGCTGATCCTCAGGTAAAATCCGTGTGGGTGAGAGCGGCAGCTTTTGCTTTAATTTCGTGCTCAGCCGATCACTGCGCCGGCAGGAGTGCATGTATCCTTTTTTTACGGACCTAATCACCTTTTAACCTGCCGTTTTGACCCCTGTGCTTCTCTGCATTGCAGAAAAGTGCTCAGGTTTTCTGATTGAGATCAAAACAGCCTCTTAAGAAAAGAAAAAAAAAAGGAATAAGAACATCTGTTTATCTTAAGGAGGCCCTGGGTTGGAAACATGTTGCTGATTTGTTGCTGACTGCAGCAGCGAAAGGAGGACAGACGTCGGAGCTCTCTTTTTCAGCCTCGACTGATTAGACATTGTTGACAGGGCATGACCTTCGTTTGTTGCCATTCTGTGTGGGACAAACAGCTCGATCTTTCAAGTGCCCCGACATTATCCGTCTCTCTCGTGTCAAGCCATGCATTAAACCAACGAGGGCCGTGAGCCGTGAGCCGCGGGGTTTTAGGAGGCAAACGTTGTGGTTGCTTAACAAGGTGATCATTCTTGAGATTCCTTCATGTGCTTGAGTGGCTCTGGCCACTGATGGCCGGGAAATAAAGATGGAGCCAGCAGACACGGGCTTTTCTCAGAGGGGAGCTCCGGCTGTTCAGTGATGTGAAGCTGTCGGTGTAAACCCTCGAAAATGGAACCTGATTTAAAATCAGGTCACTGTTTCACAGATCTTCTGCGGTGAGCATGCAAGTTTTACAAGTTTGACAGGGCTCTCAAGCAGCCCTAAAAAACATTTAAAATGCCACACTGCCTCCTAGCTGCGAAACTGGCAAAGACATCCTTATGTCTTGATCAGGTTATTTTAACAGGAGGTGATATTTGGTCAATATTGAATTAGATAAACATGCCATAACATGAAAATATAGATTATTATGGGAAACGGAATGAATGAACGATGATCAATCTGGATCCTCCTTTTCGTGCTTCATGTTTCTAAGAACAAAGGCTATGACTCTTATACGCGTGAGCTCTGAAAATGAAGAAGTGAGCAGTTTGTGTGATAGTGGTAGCTGTTTTTCATCACTTGGTCAAGCTGTCAGACCTCTTCAGAGCCCTCGGGACATATAGGAGGAAGTTTCCCAGTCCAGCAACCATTCCACTCTCACATATGTCAATTCTGAAGAGTGATTGCTTTGCTGAAAGCTTTGTGAGCAATCGTGATTTATTACCGGTTCACGGAATAAAACACAAAGATAAGAAGATTTTGAGAATTCTTTTGAATGATGTGACGTACTCATGTGGGTCACACCGGTTTGCTGACTTTTTTTTTTCTGAAAAAACAACTTCACAATGCTTTGTGTTGGTGTACTGACAACAGCGCTCTGCATCAGAGCGCGCCTGCCACAGTAAACCTGCGCTGGACGCCTCAGGCGCTGCTGTCCAGCAGGACTAACCTGCTTTATGATCTGGTTTTGGAGTCACCATCACCACAGAAAGAAGCTGGATATCTATTTACTGAAAACATCAGCCAGCACCGTGGGATTACCAGAATGTTTCCATAGATTAACTGTATAGCATTGCATGGTTTCCTTTAAGGAAACTATTAGAAACAGAGACAATCAAATGAAAACAGACTGCTGACTCGTGTTTTGATCACAATGAATAATCAATCATCATGAGGCCTTAAAAAACATGTGAACGCTTCAAACTTTACTTAAAAACAAAACAAAAATAAATATTCTTTGGGTCATTGATCAGTTGAGTAGTCTGTTTTCTTGTGTGTGTGTGTGTCTGTGTGTGTGCGTGTGTGTTTTTTTGTCCGTATCTAAAGTGAAGTACCGGAATGACAGGCTTGATTAAAGCTGTTTGGTTAGGAGAGTAAAGGCTTCCTTTATTTTCTCCTTCAGCTTGAAACACTATCCTCTGTGAGACAAAATGAGATAACTAAGTCCCACAATTCATTGCAGTTGCAGTTTGTGGAGTTTGAGTATTTCTGTTCAGGCATTCGGTGATTTATGTGGATAGCTATGCAGCGAGGAGGGTGAGGGGGTGCAGTTTGTGAAAGCAGTTAGGTTTCTGTGCCCTTTTTCTCAGTTTTTCTTTGTCTCTGCAAACCTTAAAGGGTATTCAAGCCTTGAGGTTTGGAGGCTATTCTGATCAGAATAATGAAAACACCATAGATTATAAACATGCATTCGAATCAATTCAGAGAAATTTCCATTTGAACCATTTCTGTAAAGAAACTCATTCAGCCATTGACTGACTAACAGCGAGAGGAAGACTTCAGCTGGACTGAAAAAAATGAAAATCACCGGAAAATGCAATCATACAATTTTTTAAAAAAGATTAAAGTTTAAAAGATTAAAGAAACAAAACTGATGAAAACATTTGATCCGCCGTACTTGCTTTCATTCCATACTACACCACATCCTTGAGTTCTCATCTCCTCAGTTATTTCTCATACTGCAACAAGAAATATCCAAAAGAGTGTATCAACTGACTGAAAAAAACAGCATGGCTTAAGGTGATCATTATGAAGGTTGTTATTAGATTATATGTTGGAGGGAAAGTGAGAAAGGAAAACCCTATGGGTTACATCACACTGTCACTGTCACTGCCACACATCAAACTGATAAAGTTTTAAAAAATATAGTCAATAACTGATTTAAAAGAAAAGGGATTTGGGAACTTATCACATTGGATCATCAAAATATTAGCTCAGGTTTTTTTCTCACTTTGTTATCATACAGTATTAACCACTCAATCAGTATAAGTACATTATTAAACATCATGGGCCTTGGCTATAAAAAGATAATAAAGGAGGAGGATAAGATAAATACTTCCCTAGGCCACTCAGATCTCTGAGCCAGTGGTTAATCACAGTCTGTCACTGATTTACAGAACAGTTGCCATCACTTTTTATGACAATGCAAGGCCTTTCTAGGAAAAAACAAAAAAGGCTCACATTGTGTACCAATGCAGTTATTTTCCAACTGAACCTGCATTAACGTGAGTTTACAACAGGTATCACATCATATTGTCATACTAAGACACTGAAAATGCACATTAAACTGAATATTAGAAGTATTGTTAGCAGAATCTACCAAAGAAACAAAGGCAAAAATACTGTAGTCTGCAAATGGACTGCATATGTGTTCATTGATGGGTCTTCACCTAAGAAGTTTGACTTTCGAAATAACACAGACTTGCGAAGTCTTGAATATAAATTCCAAATCCATTTGCATGTTCTTTTTAGCTTAACACACATTTCTAAAGACAGTCAAAACCTCATATGCTGCGTTGTTTCACCCCACAGTACAATTGTCCGTCGAGAGCACTGCATTAGCAGCTTCTTGAAGCTAAAGACCGGATGCGCAGACAACTGTTGGTTTCAACAACACAATCTAACATATTAGCAACCTGCCCAACAAAGATGACAAGACCAAACACCTGCCGTGTGACCTACATGCAGCAGCAAACAAAAGACATACCTTACAGAAGTGGGACGGAGCAAACCCCTGCTCTCTGAGCTCCAATGTGGGACAAACTTCCATCAGGTTTCATCAGTGTTATGTCACATTAGGAAAATACACTTTATGTTTATGTATTTCAGTGTACATGTGTAGTGTTGTATGTAACTGAAAATGATAATAATCAGAATTGGGAATACATGTTTGCAGAGAATTCTGAAGTATTACATGAATAAACATAGAGTAATTAATATGTTTCTTTTCCTTGTAGAATTTAGAATATTTTGGACACTGAGGGAATGAAAGAAAGTAAAGTAAAATTCACCTAGAAGAAAAGTGCTGACTGAATCTTCTGTAAAGTGACTGGAGTGGTAATTTCAGAAAACCATGCCAACATAATGAACTGTGAAATGTGGAAACCTAAATAATCATTTTTAAAATCACTCTCTGCATCTGAGTATGCTAAGAGAAAATTATCTTCGTTTTTTACTTTAGGGTACAGCCCCAAATATAACCCAAGTAATATGAACCAAAGTAACCATATAAAAAAACACTAAAGCAAGTCTGAGGAAAATTTGACACATATTTAATTTCTGTTTTATTGGTGTAATTAAATTTTCATTTATCAGTTCATGTTTGCTGTACAATTAATCAAAAAGAAACTCAACATCCACCCATCCATTTTCTATACCGGTAATTCCCAACAGGGACGCAGGGGAGGGGGAAACTGAAGCCTATCCCAGCTGACAACGGCTGAGAGGTGGGGTACATCCTGGACATGACAACAGTCCAACACAGGGCCACAGAAAATCAAAAGTGAATCAAATAAAAAATAGAGACGGCTTCTGTAAACAAAGGAAATGCAAATCTCTCCCTCCCCCTTTTTTTTACCAGCAGTTGGTGCAGCCCAATTATCCCATTTAGTATCAACTTCTGTTTGTCCAACTCCAGTTTAATAAGGTGTGGCCTTGGATTTGGGCATCACAGGGGAACATGTTTCCCTTTTGGTATCTGGGTGTCCAAATCAGAATGTTCTTTCTCCACTTGTTCCATAAAGCAGTGTGACTGTTTGGATGGAAAAAAGATCATTTTTCCATCCGTTCACATCATTTAATGAGTTAAAATTACTACCAGCTTGTAACAATGGCAGATCTTCACTTTGAAACAGGTGAGTTTATTTCTCTAAACTGAAACAGAGCAAAGTATGTATTGAGGAGTTCCTTTCACTTTGTTGTTAGCTGCATTTTACAATACTTTCTCTCTGTTGTTGTGTTTGACATGCGGAAAGCATGACTGTAACTTTGTATTGTGGCAGCTAACTCACAGGTCTGGCTTTTCTTGCTGAACAAGCTTCTTTAAATCTGGCAGGCACACCACTGATAGCAAACAGTGAGAGTGCAATATTATCCGAAAGGGAAAAACACATCAAAGCAGAAGAAAACTCACTAATGGATCTCCAAGAGGGATCTGGACCGAGGCCAGCTCAGTTACCCTCTCCCCGAGAGCAGTATCCATTTGTTTGATGTCTGATTACTAATTAACCACAAAGTCCCGCAGAAATGGCCCAAACATTCTCACAATGACCTCAAAATGACTGAAGTATATTGACACTGACAGCAGATTTTCATGAGCAGCAACAGGTTCTTATGGGGCAACTACACTTTGTTCTCTCTCTCTATTATTAGTTTCTATTAAAAGGGAGTGGCTGCAGGGCGTTCATCGAAGGAATGCGAACTGACTTCTAGAAGACTGTCAATCTGCTCATTAAAAATAAATGACCAGATAAACATGAATTCGCGTTACAGCTCCAAGGTAAATGTGTGGTAGTAGGCTAGCAGGTGTCAATAACATTCACAGTGCTGTGATCCGTTTCGACAAAATGAATAATTCACTGTCTGTGAATCCACTCCAGAACCACGTCTGCAGTTGAAACATGTTTCAGACTCTTTTCTAAGAGGTCCTTCCACTGGCAGTGGTACAAGGTCTCAAATGGCTGATCTACGTTAAAGTAGAAACAGTCTGAAACTGTTTTAAGTGACTCAGCACAAAATGAACAGCGTGCTGAAAGGTATCTGCAAAATGGCAACCTGTAAATTGGTTGGATCGCGTGATTAATCGTGTAGTTTACATAAGTAAGCATTTCAATATTTGATAAAGGTGTAACGCATAATGGAGCTGTGCTGTTAATCTGTATCACAGTTCATGTGTTTCAGGTCAGTTGGGTGTAAAGACTTCAGCTGGAAAGTGGATACATTTAGTTGAGTGAAGCATCAGTGTTTTCTCTGAAAAAAACGGATCAGTTCAACCAAAAAGGAGTTGGGAAAAGCTAGACGTCACAATCGCCCTCAGTGCTGATTCTGCTTTCTGTTAAAACTTTTTCTTTAAAAAACAGACTAAATCATAACTGAGCACCCTTTGAAAACAGAAAATCAAATGAAAGCTGTTCACACTGGAATATGCAGCAGAAACCTGCTTTGCACGTGGTAAAACATTCTTTATGACGGCCAAAAGCTCTTGATGTTCCGATCCTTTCTGTAAATTGCACGGCGTGTGGCAGCTCCGCCCATTATCTGCCACTCCTACCCGATAAGAGGGGCCCCACCTGTCCCAGCCCAGTGTTGAAGGACCCGCCCTGTGAAATGTCTGCTCTGAGGGCAGCGGACGCAGAGCAGGAGGCAGGTGAAATGTGGCCCGACAGGTCCGAGAGGAACACGGAGTCTGTGAGATAGAGACGGGGAGGTTACAGAGAGACTGACGAGCCTGTCAGCCGAGAGGATTTACACTCAGAGCAGTCTGGCCGGAGTCAGCACAGTCACAGAGTTGTTTGTTTTCCCGAGAGTGGGACTGGTCATTTCACGGACACAGCGAGGAGAGGACTTCAGAACCTCAGAGGGGGGGCCTGTGGACCTACTACTATTAGGCTTGGAAAAAGTGGAATTTCCCTCCTCCTCCCCTAACTTGAGCTGGGGGCAGATGGTCGCTCCGAGAGGCTGAGCAGAACTCAGGAAGGAGAGTGAGAGGAAGGGTGGGAGAGGGGCTGCAGAGAGAGGAAAAGAAGCCAGGAGTGGACAGAAGAGGAGACATGCTTCGCTACGGTTCAAGACCAAGTGTTTCCACCACCACCACCATAACAGAGAAGCCTCCGGGGTCTTCGAGTGAGGTAAGAAGCCCCAGTGGAGTCAGGACATTTAAACTCACCATTGATCTCCCCTTTTTCACCCCCCCCCCCCCATGCCTGCCAACAGTCCAGAGTTTTCTCCCCTCCCCTCTGTTTTTGCTCTGCTACTTTTAACTGTACCCCCAATAGTCTCAGCTAATATTTCCAGATCTTACAGCTGTGGACTTGTTTGACTTGCTTTGTTGTGTGGATGTGTAGATCATTTCTCTCACACAGGCTTGTAATGGGAGCCGAGTGTGCAGGAGGCACGGATGTCATGTTTATTTGAACAGCTCTGTGATAAAAAGGTCTTTGTCCTGAAGCAGCTTTTTCTCTGTTCCCATGGTTCTCCTCATTTGAATCGCATAACTCTCTACAGAATGCTGTATAAACCCTGAAGGGCTTTGTAAAGAACTATGTGCAAAGGATATTTTACAAATGAAATAAACAAATGCACAACTGTACAGAAACTTCGAATATGGAAGTAGCCTTTTCCCAGTTTCAGAAGATTTGCATAAACTTTGTTTACTGCTCATTGTCTATAAATAATCTGCTCTCTAAATTGTTGAGAAATTCAATGTGTCGGTTTCAGTGACCTAATGTGAGCTCATTTATTTTCTCATGATGTCGACCCTGCAAATTCATCTCTAACTCCTGTCTGTTTGTTTTTCAGACGGGGATCAAAGGCGTCAGGTTAACTCTACACGTAGGGGACAATGGAACCAAGAGAGCACAAACTTCAGACGCAGTGAGTCCGATATCATTCTTGCTGAAATTCCACAATTAGTTGTGCTGGGCGCCGCCTATAAGGCTTACTTGAGAGCCCTCTTTAGATGGCTGGAGTCTCTATAAACAGAGTTAAGCCAAACGTTTAAAACCCTCAACTCAATTTAACTCAAGAAACCAAAATAAGTTGCGGGCCAAAAACCTTAACTCATCTCAAGATGACGAAAGCCTCGAAAGACACACAGCGGAGCCAACGAGATTTATGTATATTTTATCATCTGGTCCAGTTACACAATCCTGACAGGCGGGCGTGTGCATGCGATAACGCAGATACAGCTGTTTCACATTTACTTCAAAGCTCAACTGAGACCATACTGAGTCTGGGCCACGTAACAGAAAACACTCAGAGGTGTACAGAGCTAAAGCGGCAGTATCTAGAAGGTGCTAGCAGCTGCAAACTGTTTCAAAATGTCTGCGTTTTCTACCTGAAGTGCAAAGGCCGTTTTCTGTGAGTGCTGACGGTGTGAATCCTGCTGAGGGAGTCCTGCTGGTTGTGTTGGTGTTTGCTGTTGGTGGCTCTGCCCCAGCTTTTGTTTGTGTTCAGGATTTGGACCTCAGCTTGTCTGGGAGTGTGAGAATTGTGACTCCGACGTCACTAAATTTTCCCTTAGGTCAGGTTTCATATTCTTTCCTGTTGTGCAGACCCCAAAAAGCCAGACTCCCACGGCATGTTTTCAATGAACCTTGGCCGGAGAGTGTGGTATTTGCCTCCTTACCACACCTCCAGGCTTTCCACTGATAGCATGGAGGAGTAATCTCTGAATACGTTTCCCTTTGGTAGGGTGTGACCATGACTAACATAAGAACGGAGGATTGACTGACATGAGAGAACACAAAGTGGAGGCAAACTCTGCTCAAAGTTGCTAGGCACAACTTAAGTGTGTATTTAGTGATGATGAAACTCTGCAGCCCTTCAACTGCGAAAACAATAAGGCAGAGAGCAGCAGCTCAAAGAGCAGTGTCACTTTCATCAACCAATTACCTGAACGATGCAAAAACAATGTCAGAAAAAGTAGAGAATCAATAAATGCTCTATTCGCTCTCATACATACACAAGTTTTGGGTAAGTTAAGCTCATACTTGGGGCGTCTCCCTCAGTTTGGATGATGAACCTGGAGCAGCTTTAGTTTTCTGACTCAACACATGGTTTTGTTTTATTGTCTTGACATACAGTATTTATGAACCTCTGTTGGCACCTTTTGAGCACTCGTCTGCATGAAAACAAATGGATGGTGTCTGGCTGTCCATGTGCAGGACTCACACTGAGACTCGTTTTGACAGTGGCATTATATGTCACATCTGTACGAGATAGTTAAAAACTCTTGTGCTGGCTTAAATCAACTCACATTGTTCACCTAAACCTAACCAAAGACCAATAGAGATTGTAAGTAACAGCCAAAAAAGCACAGAGCAATAGGATGTGTTTGTTTACATTATGTCAACTCTCTGGAACAAGAGATGATGCTGGTGGCTGCATCGTCCCATCATCCCATCTAATGCATTCTGAGCCCGTCTTCTGAGAGCAAGTCGCTGGAATTTAACACTGAAAGATTCTAACTCACAAAATACCTCTGATAGAGCAATAGCTAATAACTCAAAGAGAGTATGGGGCGTTCAACTAGGAGGTCGGTGGATCAAAAGTGAGGAAACCAAAGCTAACTTGTGCCCTCATCTTCTGCTGTATTTACTCACCACTGAGCTCTGGAGCTCCTGCAGGTGCTGCTGCAACATACAGCTGTTCAAGTGAAAAATTTGAACTATTTTAGCTTCAACTGCCAAGACTTTTAGCTGCAATCATCTGCACTCTTTTAGTTTATACTATGAGTGCTCACGCCCCTTTTTCAGCTTTATCTCCAATCTTAGACCTTATCTATTTGGTAGTCTCTGTTGGTCTCTGTAACTGTGCTGATGGGAAGTTTTGAAGTTAATCAAGAAGGAAGTAAATGACCAAAATATCCTGTGTCGGCGATGTCCACTTTTCAGTAGGAGCTCTGGTTAAAGTAATTCTTAATGATAAAATTAGATCGGGTGTATCCTGCAACTTGACACATTATGGACACAATCCAGGCCCTGACTTTGTCCTACATGCGATGTAATACACCCCCACCATGACACGCTCCGAGGGCAGAGTCCTGGAAGAACGAAGAGCCGCTTCTGTAAGAGCTTCACCTAAAGCGTTGGCTTTATCTGGCTGTCTGCTGACAGTGTCCTCAAAGGAGCGACATGAGAGCGTCTTTGTGTTGTGACTTCAAATACAACTTTCCTGTTTGTGTTGGGAATAATGAGCTCAATCCAGTCTTGGCACAAAGCACACATGTGATCCTAGTCTCACTCAGTACATGATGCATGAGTCAGTGCATCACCATGTCTTTTTTTCAGTCGTTATGTACCATAGCGGTTTGTTTCTACACATATTCACATAATGCAGGAAGCCTGCTTCTCCATATACAAAAAAATTGAGTCCTGCATGCCTCATCCGCCAATACGACAGAAACCAAGTAAATATTGTCCACCTGTGTGGCCAGACACCAGCACTGTAAAACCCAAAGCTCACAGGCGGCACATAAAAATTTACAGCGGGCTGCAGTGTTGTTAGAACATAAAGATGGCCTCTCATCTGCTGGAATTCACATCCGCCATTAGTGGGCCTTCACCATTTTTTCAACAGCACGTCTTCTGTAGATTAAGTGGTGCAGAAATGTGAGGCTCTGCCTGTCTGAGAGACAACAGTGCCGTCCTTGTTTGTGCTCCCTCCAATCTCTGTGAGACGTGGAGACTGACACCTCCTTCTCTGCATAGTTGAGGGTTTTATTCATAAGACATTTTCTCTTTTTTTCAAGAGCTGCACTCAATATACAATAAATGGACAAAAATAATATAAGCTCTACATAAACAAATATCTATTTAAAAATATAATAACTGCTGGGAAAGATAGTTGGGTCACTATTTTCTGGTAGAGCTTGAAGCCATCGTATGAACACTGCTCCGGAAAAAAAAAGTTAATGCACAGGTTAAAGTCTTAAACGTGTACTCACAAATCCACATGGGAGGTCAACAAAGTGATAGCCAGGTTTGTACCAATATACAATCTATAGTTGCAACCCTAACGGAGGTGGGTTTTTTCCCCCCAAAAACTAAGTCTTAAATAAAGGACAATGGACTCAAAAGTCAAGGAAAGTTTTATTTTATCTGTTGTGAAAACAAAATGATGTAATTAAACGGCATGGTGACTCATGGAGGGCACCACAATAATTTGTTTGGGGAATGATCACAAAAAAACTCTCTAACATTGGAAAAACTTGATATTACAAACAAACTTGCTAGATGACAACAGCAACACATTTCAGGAGTAAATGATCCACAACAGTAAAATATTTATGTGTTCTCTGCAGACACAGGCGAAGATCGATGGGAAGGAGACGTGGAAGAAGACGAACGGCCTGGTCCACAGGGAGAGGCCAGCTGGCAGGGAGTCTCCTCAGCAGGTAGATGGCTGCATCCACTCAGAGAATGATGGTACACGGTATGGGTACCGGGCTGCTCATAACCCGCAGAAAACCAAACTGCCTGGAAATATTTTCTTTCTTTTTTTTTTTCTTTTTTTTTATATAGCAAAAGCCCCCATCACCCTTGTCTTCAACTTCTTTTGACGCAAGTAAATCACTTTTGGAAATCCCACAGAATAAATTTGCCCTTAATGGCTTTTGGTTTCAGGTGCTGAACACAGGAAAGTCATTTAATTTATAAACAAATAAACAGCAGCATCTCTGTACAGATATCGGTATCTATTTCCTTCAGAAATTCTCCAACTCTAGCAGTGGATAGTTTAGTTTATCTGTATCAGAGGTATTTGTTCATGACGACATACACATCCAAACAGTTTCCTCTTTAATTTAGCCAACAGGGGTGAAATACCAGTATTTTGTTCAGTTAAACTGTTTTTTTTCTGAAACAAATTAACTTACATTACGTTAAACAGAAAAAATAGCCACAATAACAATATAGATATATATTTTATTTTTGTGAGAACATCCACTTCTGAGGATAAACTAAACTCTAACATAAAATAAGTACATCATGGTTGATGTCATAACACTGAAATGATTCACCAGTAGATGCTCAGCTATTCCATCTGAACAATCATGTAATTTGTAATATAGTTCTGAGGGGGAAGTTCTGAGGGGAAGGTTTCTACAAGAAACTGTTCACAGCAAAGTTTTGGATTAAACGATAAACAATTTCTCAACATAAATTTTCCTCTTGTTGAATATTCATGTGTACCTGTTTATTTTGGTATCTGTGATTCTAACCTCAGTCTGCTTAGGTGTGAGGAAGTGCATGTGGCAACCAGCTCATCATGGTCATCAGTCAGAGCCCCTCAGCAGAGATCATTTCTCCTCACAGTTGCTTCTCAATTTTTGATGAATTGTCCATATTGAATTTGATCTCCAAGTTACTGCTCAGTAACTTATCTATACCCACTGTACCCACCGTTATTGTTATTTGGTGAAGTTCCATACTGCCCCTGTGCTGGTCGGCATCTGTTTTCATTGGCTGATAGTGGTACAATAGGCAGAAACGGCAGGGTACTGGGTTGCAGAAACATGACTCCTTCTATACACCCTGCACCTTTTTTAGCCGCCTGTTACCATTCTCCTGTTTCTAGTGCACTGCAGCATTTGTGTGAGAAACACCTGAGGAAGTGCACATACAAAAGCATGTGTACCCCCGTGCAAACGCATGAAAGTATACAAGTGAAATGAAAATGCACATAGCCGGTGCAGGTATAAGTCGGTCTCAGTGGAGGGTGACAACAGAAACCTGACCGGTGCTATCCTGTCTCCTGTCTCAGCACCTCAGAGACACAACCAATGGGGTGCCAGAGCATCACGGGCCCAAAGTGTACGGCATAGTGCAGAGGACGGGCTCAGACAGACAGCGGGAGGTGATGGCGCGCGAGTGGACAGTCAGTCACCTTCAGGATGAGATGAGGTATATCAAAGAGGTGAGTGGAAACCAACACAACAAGTAGCCCAGTCTTCCAGGTAGCTAATGGATTTAACATTAGATTGTGATCTCGAGGAAGATTAGGTTTCTGGTTTGATTATATCTGTATGCTCTTGGTTTCTGTATACAGGTCAGAGACTCTTTGGAGAAGGTAAGAGAGAGGATGTATGGGCAGTTTGGAGGGATGCAGCAAACAATGGATAAGCTTTCACAGGAAATCAGGGTAAGGAATTTAGAACAAAATGCAAATGGTATGTTAGAACTCTCAAATCAAACTCGCCTGTGGATGGATCTAAAAATGCAAATATGTCTGCAGGCTGCCAACTCACACCGAAGGAGTCTGGAGTCTGAGGTGAAGGTGCGGACAGCAGCCATGGACAGCTTTGACCAGATGAACAGCTCCCTCATATCTGCCAACATCGGCCTGCAGGTTACAAATCAGTGCCTCTGGACATCCACTTGTTTGTTGGGTGACAGCTGAACGCTGTCATGCGGAGGGTTGATTTGGTAGCTAAACAAAGCCTCCTTTTCAGAAATCCATTCTGGAGAACTGTAAGGACAGAGTGGACACGAGTAAGGATGTGAAGAGCTTGCGGAGCGCCTGCGAAAAAGCAAAAGAACAGCTCAGGGACAAGGAGCGGGAACTGGCTGCAGCAAAGGCTGAAAACCAAACCCTGAGACTTCAGGTAATCCTCCATAGGTGCAACAGCTCTTTGTGTGGCTGCATTTTTTTCACATGTGTTCACAGATGTGAGAACACCTACTCAGGCAATAACCTAATTATACATTAAGTCCTTTGAAACTGATCCTCCAGATGATGTGGGAACTAATTTTCTTATTAAAACAAAAGAATAACCCTGATTGGGAAAGAGATTCTGTAACACTGACAGAAAACAATCCAGAAACTTCCTAATTTCAAATAATTTGTCAGTTGAGAAACAGTGGGTCCAGTGCAATGCTTTGTAAACATACACCTGTGCAGCTCAGAAACACATCCACTGCACTCGCATCTTCTGCTCTTGCATCAATACGAAATAATCGGCTGAGCGTGGTTTTAAATTTGCTGGGCTGTGAATGGACCAGGTGGAGTCGTCGCAGGAGGCCAACTGTCAGGCTTTGCGGGAGATGTCAGCAAAGCTGCAGAGGGAATACGAGGAAAAGCTGCAGGAGGAACAACGCAAGCACAGGGAGGAGATTGAGAACCTACAGGTCTGCATTCTTTTCTGCTTATTCACAAAACGCAGTTTCTGCTGACAACAGATACCACAACGGTTGCATCAGCAGGACGAAACTTCCGCACGTTGATTATTTGAGTTCTATAAATTGCTTTGATTTCAATGCAAGGATTGCAGACTTAATCCTAAATTATGACAACGTGACAGCAGTTTTAACAACAGGTCAATCTCTTAACCTCAAAGTGAAGCAACGGAAATATTTCTGATCACACAGGCTCAACTGGACGAGTACATCAGGCGACTGGAGGAAGCTGACAGAAACTTGAGGTTAGCGGAAGCTAAGATTGCTGAAAGAGACCAGCGGATCATAGAAGTGGAGCGTCTCTTGGACTGTATGGGAAAGGTAAATCTTACCTATCGTGAGATGGAATCTCCCCATCTCTCTATATCTATCTATTTGAAATGTGGACAAACACAGGAAAAGCAGATATTTTGTAAACTCACTTTCATTTCCTGTATATGACTGCAGTCTCAGAACAATCAAACAAACTAGCTTTCTTTTTTTAAAATTTTTATCATCCGTGTGTCAAAGCAAAGCCAATAAACTGAGATATAATTTTCCCAGGAGAAAAATCAACTCCAGACAAAGCTGCAGGACTGTGAACAGCGTCTCCGTTTGATGGAGCTATCAGACACAACCGATGCAACAGTAGCCAAAAGGTACACATTAAAGTCCACTTTATGGTTTAATTGCGGCCATTTTCTTCATCGGCTGATTGAGCTCAGCCATGATGTAAACACACTGCAAGGGTTTTTCATTTATTTTTTTTTGCAAAGAGAGCAATGGGATTTGAAAATATTTTCAATTTCACGAATAAGCATGATATCCTCCAGTAAAAAGAAAAAAGACAGCAGTTAATGATGTTTATAACGTGTGGGTCATGTGCTTGATTTCAGGTCCAAAGAGCTTCAGGGGGAAGTTGTAGACCTCCGTGAGAGAATCAGACACTTGAATGATATGGTGTTCTGCCAACAGAGAAAAGTCAAAGGAATGATAGAGGAGGTGAGGAGGGTCGAACAATGTGGATAATGCCCTTCTGAGTGTGTCCTGTTAGGTTAGGATGGATATCACTAAAATTTGATGAAACTTTTATTTAAATTTTGAAATCCAAAGAGTTCAAGACACTTTTATCCAGAGTTTGGTTTAAATTGATTGCATGGTTGCTGGTTTGCCACGAGGGTCAGCCTCGATTCTTGAATTTTTACTAAGAACCTTCCACTCTTAGAAACAAATACTCTTGTAAATAGTGCAGACAGCATGAAGACCAATGTTGAGTTAATTGTTGTCTCAATTTGTGCAGGTTGAAAGCCTGCGAGCTCAAGTCGCTCAGAAAGACATGTTCATCTCAGAACTTCTGGACAGGATTGCGATTGTGGAGTGTGAGGTAAGGACAAGCTTCACGGAGTGTTTTAAGGCTGCATGTTTTGGTGTGGTACGCTCATCTGCAGCATGGTTGTGGTTGATTCACTGGGCTGGTCAGCAGAGGATATCTGTGACTTTTAGCCATACCTGTCTGGTTTTGCTGTGTCTTTTCATCTATGAAGTTACTTTTTCCACGTAAAGTGGCCAGAGTCCTTTGCATGCATCTGAGCTGACGGAGTGTTTCCTCTTTTCTTTTTCCTAGAATAATGAGTTAGAAGACAAGCTGAAGTATTTTATGTCCATACAGAATAGGCCTCAAGAGGCATTGGAAACAAGGGAGATTGGAGTAAGCTGTGATCTGCTCCCAAGGTAAGGCTCAACATGTGTGGCAGAACTAGGCTGTATTGTGTACTTCATTTGATGCTGTTTCTTACTCTGGTGTCCGACTGTGCATCTGCAGACATGAAGCACAGAATCGTGACGTTGAACCTGTTCATAGCAAATCTGCTCATGTCAATTCCATGCTATTTCCATCACCTGTTCAACCTCCATCTCCAGTCAAAACTTCATCACCCACTCAACCTCTGTCACCCACACAATCGTCATCACCCGTACTGCCCTCATCCCCAAAACAACCTTCATCTCCTCGTGAATATTCATCATACTTCCTAACATCACCCACCCCGCCAAGGACGTTCAGACCTACTAACCCTCCACCCAGTAGGTTAGAGTCAAGTTTACTGAAGTACACTCCTGTTCAATACAGCAACATGCTGCAGTCCAACTCCTCCGCACTAAGTGGGACCTTCTTTTGCAACCGGCCATCTGAGTCTAAACCTGACGAGAGTCCAGTCTGGTCCGGAAGAGATGAGGTGGATGCAGACCGAAGAACAGACACACAGTCAAGCAGAGAGGAGTCTTCTTCATCTCCTTCCTCTTCACAGCCAAGATCAAGATCGCCGCGAGTTTATACACCGTTCATGAAACTAATGGAAATTACATCAAAGATAAACATAGAATAACCGAGAAGTTTTATCTTTTGGGGAATCGAGCCAGTACTTTGACATGGAGATTGATAGCGCTCTCATTTTTTTAAAGGTATTTTCACTGTAACAAACCAGAGAAAAAAAAAAGTCATATGGTTGAACTTGTATTCAGACATTTTTATCACTGCAACCACAATTATGTAAATAAGATGATAAAGCACTCAAAAAACATACATTCCCAAAGTCTCCACTTTTTATAGTTCATGAAAACAGCCATGTTGGAACTTATTGTGCCTTACAGATAACTAAGAGTTGCTTCTATTCATCGCCACCATTTATAAATCAACTGACCCCCAACACAGATAACATACTGTTCACTTCATGCAGAGGTATGTAATGGCTTTGATGGCTTCAGCTCCATGGAGAAACCTGTGAAAACTGAAGAATGCTAATGCTCTAAAAAGTTCATTTTTACAGTGAACCGAGTGGACTGTTTAAACCAATGAAAAACCCAAACAAGACCTTTGAATTTTAGGGAGGTTTGCAAAAACAACTCTTCGCCATATGATTATTGTAACGGATGTCAAGGAACCTCATGAGACTACTCCAACTGCTAAAATCCCCATCAAATGGCAAAGCTAATTTTCCCTTCTCAGTTAAGTTAATGGCACCTACAGTGTTTGCTGTTTGCTCAACAGAAAGTTGATGTCTTGTAGTCATTGCTGTTTAAAATTAAGCAACATTTTATACAAAAGACCATAACTGTATATTTAATCATATTTTTAAATAATTACTTTAAATTACTACAATAACACACAGCTGAAAACCCCACAACATGTAGATGTTGCATTTTAATAGCAAAACTAGGTTTACTACAACAAGTTTAACGCTGTATTAATAATTTTGAAGCTGTATTAGTAGATTTATTATAAGTTGAGCCCTGCCTAATTTTTTTTTATTCAACTTATTTCATTGCATGAAAGATGGCCATGACTCCACAGTGAATGCTGTTAACTTAAAACTTGGAGTGTTATCAATCAGCTTTTCTCTTTTTCTACAAGTAATTCCAACAAAATCGATGTATTCCTTCAAAAGCTGGGTGTTTGTTTATCAAATATGCCCTGAAATGAGAGTGAGAAGTTGGCACATCCCTTTGTAACAGTCTCTTTTGGGGGAGAAGATATTTCAAGTCAATGATGCAAAAATCAATGTGTGTTTGCAAATCGATTGAGTGATAAGCATGAATGTTTTTAATGTGGTTTTTCAGAAATTGCTTATCCTTTCTGTTTACAGTGAATGTACCCCTCTTACATGGTTCTTTAAGCTATAATCAAAGAGTATGAATAGGTATATGGAGGATCATGGTTATGTGTATTTTCCTATTTTTGATGTAGATAAAATCAAATGAATATTATTTTGCTACCGTCTCTCTATGTAAATAATATTTATTAACATGCTTTGTGCCTTTGTTAAAAGCCTACAATCTTGTACTGGTGATGGGCATAATTCTCTGACTTGGCAACAGGGTAACAGGATATTATGAAGCTGAAATATTTGTGATCACGTTTGAAATTGCTCGTAATCAGGTGGCTGCTTTCCCTGAGCCAAGGCAGTAGTATTGTCCAGCTGTTGTCTGCACTGCCACAAGTGTGCTTAAGAGCTCTGCTATGTGCCTTTCTCTTAATGAAACATATCAAACTAATGACATGAGGCCGGAGTATGTATGAAGAATAAAAGCTATATGTCAATCCTGATGGTGTCGAGAGGCAAATTCTGTTCATAAAAGTTTTTGTACTTTCTGCATTTTATGATTACTAACATTTTAATAAACATGTACAAAATAAAATTCAGACAGTTAATCCAAATACAAATATTGAACTTCTATGAACACATAAAATGAATTAAATGGCCTATTTCATACAACTAAATAGATTTTAGGGATATTTTTGGTGCACTAAATTGGCTGAAGATATTTGTTAGTGTAGATCATTTTCAATGATTCGCCAAAATGCTTTGCAGCATAACACATTTGTCAGGATCAGGATGACGAACCTCAAACTATTCAGGTGTCCTTCTGTACCCAGAGAATAATCCTCTGGATTTTGAATAGTGTGTAACTTGTTGAGTGATCGTGCTAGACATGCACGGCATGATCTAACGACATACCCAGGCTATTCAGGAGAGAAAGTTGCAAAATAATCAAAGACTCATGAATTTTTAAACAACATTGCAACTTTACCCCCACACAGTGTCTTTGTTCCTACTTTAGAGCTGCATGAAAAACAGATTAAACCGACGCTGAACTCTGAGGGGATAAAAAGGACACAGCTGGAAGTTCTTGGTTAAAGTGTGGGTCATTGTCTGTCGAGCTGAGTGAGAAATGTTTTGGCAGTGTGTTTGAAAAACATCCTGACAGGAAATGCAGCTGTGGAAAATCTGAGACTGAAAGCTGTGAACTTCAAACTGAGCAGGCTGATTATCCAGACAAGCAAGAACTCTCTTTGCATGAAGGTCAACCTGGCATATTCTGTAATCAAACTAAGGGCCTGTTTTGAAAACCATGGATTCAGAGTCAGGAAACTCCCCTTGGAGAGTTTAGGAGGACAAAACCTGATTAAACATGCATTTAGAACCGTATCCTCACACTGAAAGTTTGTTGATAGTCACTTTCTCTTCTGCTGGAATGATGTCACATTAATGAGGATTTAAATACTGAATATGTTTTGATTTATTCACAATTTGAAAAACCCACTCTTACAATATATCAGATTAGTCAACAGTCAGCATCTCTGGTCCAACGGAAAACTCAAGTCAGTAAAAGAACAATGCAGCAGTAGTGTAAGTCAGCTGTGGTCTTACACAGTGATGTAATGATTTTAAGGACCAATTATGAAGTGGTGCATTTACCAATCTGCTGGAGCACCAAAAAAAAAACGTTATCTATTTTTCTTTATTCTTAATGAACAGAACATTTGGTTTAAACTGTTTTTCGTGAGCTGATAATATAACAAATGCACATGCAGTGACTGTGAAAGGATTGTGAAGTAGCGCTCATGAAACGAAAAGTAGGTTTACAGAGTTACAACGAAACAAAAGTGCAAAAGTTTCAGGTCATTGGCAAATGGGCAGTGGTACACTACTGAAATATCTTTATCAGATTTGCCCGTTTTTTAGTGGCAAGCCTGCAGACATTTGAGGACTCAATAGCTTCGATAAGATGACAGGGGGCAGCAAATGGGATTCTGAGTTTTGCAAAGACAACGTAACTACAGTGTAATGGCAGCAGGGGGCGAAAGAGTGCCGTTCTATAGTAGTCACTTCCGCCCACGAAGAAGACGATGGTTTCCCATTTGAAATGTAGTGTCAAAGTGAGGTGTGTGTGGGAAGAAAAGAATCCATCACAACCTGCTGTTTTCCAGGTATAAAAGTTTTCCCTTCAGAGTTGAACCTTTGTTCGTTCTTTTTGCGAATAAATGTAGCTAGCTGTGGGAGCTAACCGTGATGTCCTCGTCGTGGACAGAGCGGCAGGGACAGGTGGGAGACCTCAGGAAGCAAAGCACGGAGGAGCTCCAGGAGCTTCTGCTCCGACAGGAGAAGATACTCTCTAACAAGTAAGTTTTTAGTGAGTTTTATATGACACAACGGGACTAACGTCGCACTTGGATAATTTTGACACGTGTGGACACCATCGCATCCATGTTTACAAGTGGCCAAGAAAAGGGCAACTGAGAAATTAACATACGTCACACGATTCATTAGAAAAATGGTATGGATCAGTTAATTGAATAAGTGTTTCTGTAGAATAGATGCTGAGCCGGAAAATAGCTCCACTTACCATTGTTACGTTGTGGAGTGTGGTACCTAACTTTAGCCATACATTTAAAATTATCTTGATAAGTCTAAAGGGTGACTAATACTGCTAACTTTTTATGACTCTGGAAAGAGTTGACTGAGCTCAATATAAATATCATACAAAGAAAGCTTCATAAACAGAGTAAGAATAAAGCAAAAGTAGATCCTTAGAGCAACGACACAATTTTTCAAATCATGATTAAAATGAAATGCTGTGAAGTTGACAGTTTCTATGTGTTAAGATTAACTGCATCAGGAAAACGAATGTGCCTTATGGCTATTCTGTAAATTGGTGGCATTGAACACAGTGTATACTGTTATGAGCACACAATGGTTATTTTGATTTGCTTTCAGGAGATTATTACGGACTCTTCCTGACCGAGGAGAAAAAATTAAAGACTTTGCAGAGAAAGTGCGCCTTGCCATCGAACAGCACCATGAAGAGGAAAGAAGGCAGGCTTTGGTGTCTTCTGCCAAGACCGAGTTTCAGTCCAAGTACCAGCAGAGTTTCACTTCCCAGCAATGTGCCGTCTCCCCTGCACCGGCGCCCCCCCACCAGGACAGAAACAGCCAGGATGCTGCAGGAGGAGCTGCGCAGATGGAGGAAACATCACCCGTGTCGGCAAACTTGCAGGACAGCACCACTGTGGCTATGCAGCACGAGCAGGTTGTCTCCAGCCCAGCTTCTGTTGGGGCAGCTCTGAACTCAGATGAGACAAAGGAGGATGCGCTTGTCGAAGCCTTGGACAGGGTCACACTGTCTGAAACCAGTACCGGGGAATCCAAAGGCCACCTAAACCACGGGGCAAGAGACAATTACTTTTCTGGACAGCAGCCATCACAAAAGCCTCACTACATGACCGTTCTGGAAAACTCAGACAAGTTGTCCGGTCTCAGGAAGCAGAAATTCAAACCAAATCAGTGAGTTGGATTTGTTTCATGATAACGTTTCACAGCAGCTAATCTTTTATTAAATCCAAGCTGATGAATATTTGTCATTTTTGTTTCTTTCATTTTCTGTTTCCAGGTTGCCCCTTAGGAAGGATCCTTCTCCGTCAGGGTCTATGTCACCTGGTCAGTCGCCCGGGAGCGCGTCGCCGCTCTCTGCTCAGGCTCGACGGGAACGGGACAGAAAACACCTTGATGATATCACTGCTGCCAAACTCCCTCCTCTCCGCTATGAGCCAGCTAAATTCCTTTCCCTGGAGGAGTCATCCACACTCCTCAGGGAGCAAACTAAGAAGCAGCAGGTGAATAATTAATGTAACTTTGTGTTGGAATAGGGAGATTGTCCTTTAGATTGAAATTGGTTTGGATTACACACGTCATTTTTGAATGCTAAAACTTGCATAAATAAGGTTATTGCCTTGTTTGGTCATCACATTTTCCACAACAACCAAACAAGTCTCCTCCTTCTGGGGTGTTTCTGTTTTTCACAAACATTTGAAGCAGTTCTTCATTCTCGAATAACAGTTTATCTAAAAGGGTCTTAAAAAAACACTAAATGTTGCAAACACACACACACATCAATATATATATATATATATATATATATATATGAACAGATAATCCATAGGTGCATAAATATTTGTTATATGATTAAGTTTGTGACTTAAGTTGATGAAGTATGTCTCACAGGAAGGAAACAAACGTTTTCAGGTGGTGTGTTTGCACGCACATGCAAATTTTTAAACAAATTTGGTGGTGACCAATGTCTGCCATGTCTTTAGTGGATTGTTTTGGATGTATTGAAGTGTCAGTTTCCTCCCTCTAGAGGGCAGCAGCATTCAGACACTGTCTCACTCTGTCCAGACTTTAGTGCCAAACGTCAAACAGTGTGCTTTTGGCAGGTTAAAGAAAAACGCATTATCAGACAAACTTTTGTTGAGATTTTAATGGCAGTGTCCGTGCCACTTGATCTGTTTACCAGCCTTTTAATGTCAGCTTTCCCTCTGTCCTGTGTTTAATTTCAGGAGCTCCAGGCCAAGCTGGCAGCCCAGAAACTGTCTGAGGGACTGAAGATCTCTATGGGGAGCTACTCTCCTGACGGTGGCCCCATGGCTGCCTACAGGGAGGTTTGTGATGGAGACCAGCTTTCCTCAGAGGAGGACTGATCTAGGAGGGCCAGCTGGGGAAACCAGTGTAACCTTGGCCCAGGAGGAAAAAGGCTTTGGACCTCGTGAACCTGGCCTATATAAGAGGATTTTCACTCCAAGAGCAAGAACTCTCAAACAGAGAAAAGGGGCTTTGCATGGTGTGAAGGAACAGTTGGTAACCCAGACTCGACTCAGGAAATTCACTGTCAGCTTGAGAAACTAGCTGACGTAATTAGTATTGATATCGTACTGGGTTCAGTTTTTTTCCAAATTCCTGCTGGTATAGTAACACCTTTTGCAGATCAAGAGACTTAAAGGCTTAATCTGAAGCACGTCTCATGAGGTAACGCTTTGTCAGAGTGCTGAACCGATGACATCATGGCCTTCCGACTCTGAGGGAACTTTTTGCTAACTCTTCGGCTTTAGAGTGCTAAATAATGCCATGCACTCAAACCTCATTAACAGGTGGAGCTGACTGTTTAGGCACAGTGTGACTGTCTGTCCATACAGGAGACAGTTGTTTGTTTGTTTATGTAATGTTATTGATTATGAAACAAACCAAATAAAAATATCTGATTCCTGTAATGTTTGTATTTATTTATTTATAAATGTTTGAGGATCTTACTTCCTTCTTTCTTTTGTAAATTGTGCACACTGAATCCCCTTTAAAAAATTAATCTGTTTTTATATGATATACAGAGCATCGAAGATGAGATGTGTCCTTGCCAACATTTACATTGCCTTTATTCTATAACTCCATCTGGTTCAATATCAGTGGAAACTTGATATGCTCATGTTTTGTCTCCATTTTCTTCTCTCAGAATTGTTTCCCCTTAATGTTCATGTGTGGATTTCACAAATATTCAAGCAATGAAAGGCAGTCCGAAGCACATGGCTAAACTTTGTTAACCTGTTTGATCCTCAGTCTGTCAGTAAGATCACAGACCTCCATCCCACCCTCAGTGAATGAAATTCCGATGATGTGGCCCAAATCCACCAACTCTGACAAATCAAAATCAAGTTATTTCGACAATGCATTTTTATGTAAGATAGTTTATGTGTTGAGAATAAACTCTGGATTTAGCGTTCCTCTGCCTCATAATTTTGCAAACTGCATGTCGTCATCTGAAGCCAGTCTGAGGATTTTATTACTGGTGAAGCTGTAGGAGAGTGTGATGGAGAAGAAAGCCAGCAGGAAAAGGGAGTTGAAGGACTGGAATGAACTCTGGCTTGGCACGAAAATGCAACAAAAATAAAGAAAAGTTTAGCTGCAGCTACTAGTTGAATTGCAGAATTTTCATATGAAACTATCTGCTTTTTATGATATTATATATTGTGTATCATCAAAACAAACAATCATTATGCTTCCTATAATCATGAGAAGTGTTTAGTCTCAGATTAGCTCTTGATGTTGGAGAATTAATGCACTTTTATGCTTGGGTAAAACAAATTCAGGTATAGAAAAAAAAAAGGTTTTCTGTGTTAAGACTTTCTTCCTTATCCAGGTGTTATGTTCCACATCTGGAGCTGCTGACAAAACTTGCTCCTCACATATCACCTGTTGACTGTAATATTATTTCAAATGGGAGCCTTGGGCTTTAAAACTACACTCCCATAAAATTTGCTCCATGACAATGGTTGAATTTTCTGAATTTTTATCAACGATTATAACGTGTGTTTCTATTAGTTTGAGCTTCCAGGTCATTTTTATGCTAGGTAAGTCCAGACGGTGCAATGAATCTGAATTTGTAACGAGTCTATGGTCAGCTGCAGGAACTCGCAAAATCCTGTGAGATGTTATCAGACGGGGATCCATCACACACTTGATAAGATTAATGCAGGGTAGTGAGTTATTAAGGCTTGATGGCTCAGACATCTGGACTGAATTTAGATCATGTTGTTGCCTGGGAATGGCAGGCGATGATTGGACGGCAGCAGGCTAATGCAATATGGCAAACGCCATTTCTCAACTCTGCTAATACGTGGTAGATAAGAAGTGCCAGCTACATTCTGCATCTTTCCAAAGTGCCTCGCTTTCCCATCATCTGTCTTCTGCATTTCAGAGAGGACGGTGAGCCATCGTAATCTGAACAGTCTCATTCTGGGGTTTTGACGAGGAGGAAATCGGGGACTGAGGCACCTACTTTAGGGAAATGTGCACGAGTTCATGTAGGTCACAGCCTGGTGGTAGATGCCCTTTGATAACCTTTTGTAATTCCTTCTGAGCCATTGGTGGAAGATGTTTTAGAGAGAGAAAACATCTGATTGCTGTGTATTTAGACACTGTATCTGATGGGCTTCAGAGTGGCCCCCTGATGACGTCCAATAACAAATACATGACCAAGCTCCATGGAGGATCGTCTTTGTGCTGGAATTAATTACAGCCCACCTTTGCTTATATGAATTTAGTGACTGTTCTCAATTATGTGGCACGTTTTTTCTCCAGTCTTTCTTTGTGGTGTCTGACTTCAGACTGGACTGTGAATGAATGCGGATGATGTTGAGGTGAAACTAAGCAAATTGTAAAGTCAAAGCTTTCTTTTCCCCCGGGTTGTCCATTGATGAGGAGGCTGTTTATACTTCTGCTTGAATCCCAGGCCTCTTGACCCAGATTAATAAGTGCCTCATGAAGTAGTCTGCAAGTGATTTGCTCCAACTCTGGGTCCGAAATCACGCGTCCTGCGGGAGTAGAAATAATTTGCTGTTTGGGAGGGAAAACTGGAATGTGAATTCAAAACTGCGTCTTCAAAGACCAGTCAGCTCAGCCTTAAATTAGATATACAGTATGATGTATAGACTGGCGTTGAACACGAGTTGGGCCCTCAGCAGAATGATTTGATTATGTCTGCCAGTCTGAGGTCATACTTTTTCCATTCTCTGATGTTTTTGTCATATTTTTTCAGGCCACATGAGGAGATGAAATAATTCATTGCACAGCAGCTTTATGCAGATACTGGTGCAGCCTGACTTTACATTCAAGCTCAAGATTTTAGGTGTTTATTTTTTCTAAGCACCTATTTGCTTTCAAAGATGATATCTGAATTTGCTTAATTTTTTGTATGTTTTCATGAATCCTGCTAAAAATAGACAAATGTTGTAAAAAAACTTGAAAAAAGGACATTTCAGTCTTGAAATTAATTTGAAAAAACTCTAGCGACACCATGAGGTTGTCAGTACATGGATGTTTTCAGAGCAGAGAAGCCATTGCTGTTAAGTCACACTAAGCCTGAGCAAATGTTTCATATGCAAATAGGATGAGTTGGGAATGGGGAGCAAACGTGTGAGTTAGCTGTGTTACATGTGTGTGTGCTCCCCTAACAGGGTGACGAGGAAAGTAAATACTTTTGTGACAGGTCTGAGGTGCTGAGGTCTCCAGTTATCTCGCCATGAAACGTGTGTGTGTGTGTGTGTGTGACAGGAAGCCAGCTCATACTTCATGTCATGGCTGTTGGCTGCTTGAGAAAGCATGATAAGTGGCTGCAACACTCATGAGGGTCCTGCAGCTGTCTCACTGGGAATGTGGACGAGAAAATATTCCCCATACCAGCAGGCCGACGAAAAAAATAAAAAGGATGGAGGTGTCTGGAAGTGAGTGCTGGTTGTAAAACACAGTCATGGAATGATTTATTGCATTTTTACATTCTTTGGATTGTTTTCCTTTTCAATTTTTTTAAAATCCACCAGTCAGAAGCAGCTCATTGTTTATGAACGCGGTGAGAGAACCGAGTTTCCTGTGAATGCTGCATGCAGAAAGGCTCAAGGATTACTGTTGAGTCTGAAGTGTTGGGTTGGTTTTACCAAGTATCTGTTGATACTTCAGATCTGTTAAAAATGTACAGAGTTTGTCTTTGCTGCATATTATCTCATGTATGTAAAATAAATACAATTTGAAGATTTAAACTGGTTCTTTTCTGGCTCCTGAATACATTTGTATCCAAACAACATGCAACTTCAAATTTGAGCATCTAAAAATCAACTTGAGTGTTTATTTCTGTACAGGTTCTACACTTATGGTAAAAGTGAACTTTACTCCTTGCTTTACATCCTTTGCATTACGCACTGCTCTTTTTTTGTGTGTGAGCTAGTTTCCAAAAAGCTTTAGGAAAAGGCTAAATTACTGGCACATGGTCAATAGTTGATAACATGACGGAATAATTACAAAGGGCCCTACAGAGAAAAAAAAAATCTTGACCTTAGTCCATTTTCTTCTCACAAATGCCAGCCTCTACTCACAGTAATTCATGAAATAAGCGCAAAATAGAAAACAACCTTTTTTGGCAGGAGAAAACAAATGTCAGCCTTTTTTTTCCTTTGTCAGTAATCAATTTCAGTTGGACTTTTCTTTTGTGTGTGCACTGGGGTCTCATGCAGATGGAGCTCATCACAAAGTTAACTTGAAAATCGAGTTTTCAAATGTGCACTTTAGGTTGGGGGGGGGCAGTCTTAATTTCTTTCCTCATGCAATCAGTTTTTAATATTTAGGGCTAACCAACTGGTTTTGCTGTACTAACTCAAATAAAGAGAATGATTAGTGAAAGTAAAATGTGAGGGATGACAATGGTAAAGTTTGAAAAGTAATATGTTGAATAGATGACATCTAGATGAACATGTTATTTCATCCCCATGCCCTGCGTCCATACAACTGGTAAGCAGAAATTTAATGTCCAAGGATAAAAATAAGTTATGTAAAGTGTGACACATTACATTAAAAACTTCTAATATGGTCTTTCGCATCTCTTTTGGTGTTCTCACTTTCTTTTGTTTAAATAAAGCCCATTCACCACTTTGAGCTCAATTACTTTATGGTAATTCTTTCTGCCGATATCATGTCATTGTGACATTTAAAATCTGCATGTGTCTTTTAGGTCTTTACATCAAAAGCAATGTAGTCTGCAGACCAAAGATAATTTTTTGCTTTAACATTGCTCAAAGCCGTAAGGTAATTATCAGTACCTATTAACTTTTAACGAACAAAAAACTCTAATTTCTATTGATACTAAAATGGCACTGGCAATTTCAGTAATTAAGTAAAAACGATTTAAAATTACCTTTAGACTGCAGCTTCTCCTTTTTTTTGGTGTTGCTGTGAACATCTCTGTGGCATGGCAGCCATTTCCAAAGTGTGTTTTTGTTTTAACACATGGTAAAACCTGGAGTGTGAAGATCTCAGCAGCCCTGCCTCATTGCACACATTCAGATGTTATTTAATATAAACACACAGTCCTCCTAAATAGCTGAAATAGACCTTCTTGTGACTCACTTTTAACCTCATCCTCTTGTAATAACTTATGTAATAACTTGTAATAACTTATAATGATATCAATAAGAAATTGTCACTCTTTCTTCTTTCTTTTTCAAGAAAACCCCATATGCTTCTAATAATCAGAGGAGTGTAAGAAAATATGCTGTTGTTTTATCATGCACACTGCTGTTTTGATTCCGATACATAATTTGGATCTTTTTTTTTCCATCACAGATTAAGTAAGCACTTGGTTTAATGTGAGGGCAGTTCAACTGCCTGCAGAGTTTCTGCAAGATAAGGATGTCACAACTAAAGCATTATGTGTTTCTTTTTCCTCTG